GCATAATAATAAGTAAAAAAATTCTAACTCTAAAACGCCTTCACCAATCTTTATAAAATTTTGGATAAAAATACTTTAACTTATATCTCAGTTTATCAAGGGTTTTTTGAGAAAATATCCTTAAAGCCCTTTAATTTAATAATAAAAAACGCTCAAAAAAAAACTTTTATAGGGAATTTTTTTAAGTAAATAAAAAATATGCTGTGAAATACCTTATTTTTGTAAGTATACCCTAAAAATGTTGTACAAATCAAACGAATAGTAACGAAAATACAGCGCTTTAAAGTCATCAAAAATGACCACTTTTCAGCAAAATAATCAAAAAGGGGTCATTTTTAACGACTTTGAAGCACTTCGTTAATGTTCGTTTGATATGTACAAAATTTTCAGGGTATACTAATAAAAATACGGTCTTTAACAGCATATTTCTTATTTACTTAAAAAAAATCCCTAAAAGTTATTTTTCAAACGTTTTTTTATTATTAAATAAAAGGACTTTAAACATATTTTCTTGAAAAACCCTCGAACATATACCTATAACATGTATAAGATGAAGTATTTTTTAAAAAATTTCATAAAGATTAGTAAAGGCGTTTTAGAGTTAAGACTTTTTTTACTTATTATGCGTTAATTTTGACGCGCAGTGTAAAAACGTATCACTTTATAATTTGCAATGCCAAAAAGAGTGGGGCTCTTTTAAATAATCTAAATTTGACAAATCTTTACACTTTTTACATGGGAATTGGCAGGTAAGTAGGTATAAATAAAATATCGCAACATACAATTTAATTAGATTTTATAATTTAATTTTTTAATTTTTATTTTTTTGCGTGTTATTAATTTTTTAAAATTTTAATTTGGTTTACATGCAACAGCAACAAACAATTTAAAATTATTATGTGTTATGTTAGTAATCCGCTAATTAAATAACAGGGGTGTACTTTTGACTTTAAGGGTTTAAACCGTTTTAACAATTTAAAACAATGAAAGGTAACAGTAATTGAAATTGACCCGTACATTTTTAGATGTTGAATCTGAATGTTTAAAAAAAATATGTTTTTAATGTACGCAAATAAAAAAATACTACCGACCTTGTTAAATTTGGGAATAAAATACAATATTTACCGTAATTTTAAGTTTTATTTTAATTATTATTTACATAATTTTTGTAATTATTTAGTACTTTTTTATTAATGTACCTTTTTTAATTACGTATGTGTTTTTGTATTATTTTTTAATATGTTTATGTTATTAAACTAAGAGTACTTAAAACATATTTTTATTTAGTTGCCCATATATCCACAATAAGGGCGTTCGTGTACTACGTGCATTCAGGTTTTTTTTGGCTTAAATTGCAGATTTAAAAAGAAAGAAAGGAATATTTCGTGTAAGAATAACTTTGACCTGTCATAGATATTGGTGTCATTCGGACCACGATTAACGAGGGTGCCATTTTGACAATTTTGTGTCATATGTATAAAACCGTTATTTTCCAAAAATATGTTATGTTTATGAATATCTGTAAGGTGTCACTTTGACCTGTTATATCACAAGTTCATACATATTGGTGTCATTAGGACCAATATTAAGGGGGGTGCCATTTTGACAATATTGTTTTATACGTATAAAACAGTGAAATATCTTGGCAACGCTGTAGGGTGTCAGTTTGACACGCAATATCACAAGTTCATACATTTTGGTGCCTCATAGACAAGATTTACATGGGTGCTAATACAGCAACATGTGATCCTTCTATTTTATACGTATATAAGTGTGGGTGTTTGATTGTACATCGGTTATGTGGGTGTCGTAGCATACAATTAATATATATATATTAATATATATATATTGATTTTAAACAACAAAAAACTATTTAAATTTTCTAAAGATTAAAAATCAGAGGCGATTTTATAAATAAAAGTAAACTAAGCAAGTTTGAAAAAATTTAGTTAAAAAAACTTAAAAATTAGCGAATAAATACCTAGGTACCTACTTTTATTTTAGTCAAAAAATTTAAAAATAATAAATTGGTACTTGCCAAATTTATTGATGAGTTCTGGTTAAATCCCATTATCCTTATATGGTTGTCTTATTTCTTAATATTCATTGGCTTAATAGCCATGGCTTTAACATGTTGGACCTGGAAAAAAAATACAATTAGACCATTTATGGACTGCAACTTTTGTTTTTTAATTTTTTTTTAATATCAAAAATATTCGTAGTATTATTTAACCTAATAGAATTCTAATTAGAATAATATATATTAATAATATATTATTAGGTATACCTAGCAATTTGTTGATGTAGATAAAAGTAATAAATGAGCATGTTCGTTCCATCAAAGCCAAATTATAACTGAACGCTTGATTACGTTGTAGGGATTATAATTATTTCTTATTAACAAAAACAACCAAAAAAGAGGGTGAGTCAGACCTGCGCGATAAACATATTACGTTACGGGTGGCGAATTTCTTAATTACTTATATATTTAAATAAACAATTGTTATTTATTATTTTATTAATAATCAAATAATGTAATTTCGATTATAGTTTCCAAAAATTACGCACTATTTTGAGTAAGTAAGGTTTAAAAATTGAATTTAATTTGTGTTATTTTCCAAAGACCTTTTGAAAATAAAATCTTAAATAAGAAACAGTTTTATCCTTATCGGTTGAAATTTTTGTTAAAAAAATGTTTAACACAAAAATTGTAGTTATTAAACTGACAATTCTATAAATTTTCTTTAATGAAAACAAAATTGTTAAAAAAAACTCTTGGTGAGATTTACAATTTTTTAGTTTTTAAATAAGTTTATTTTGTTTTTAACAGCTTTTATGTATTTATTTCACTAGGCGATATTTGCCATGCTATTTTAAGTACTTAAATAGTAAAGTTAGTAAAAGTGACTATAAGGTAAAATAAGAACCGATTTATAAATATTGTTTAAAATATTTGACACAATGAAAAATATGACTTGTAGTTTCATACTATTTTGTCTATTCTACCATAATTTATCAATAAAGTTAAATAAATCTTTGAAAATAGAAGTTTAATTCCTGTTACTAGGTTGGCACAATTGACGTAAAGCAAAATGTCAAAGTTAAATATAGTCACGGCCAAATCTATATGGGTGCACGTCATCAATGAGATATAATGACGTCAGCATTACCAACTTTGAATTGTAAAGTTACTGCCGTTAAATTTGCTTTTTTAAGGCGTAATTCTGATGTGTTATTAAAAAGAAATCATTCATTTGCGTATTGTTTATCAAGAACTGTAACAATTTCCTTGTTTTAAAACGTTTTTTCACGAAATTATCAAAATAAAACCATTCACTTAGTAATTTTTGTGTGTGCCAGTTGGTAATAGCTTAAGGCTGGCGCGCACCGTTCAATATTATTGATGGGTCGCTGTCATTTTATATTTGACGTATTTTTGTAATTGTGACATTTCGTCCGAAAGCATCGTTTGTTGCAAATTATTATAAATAATATTATACATTATGTTTATAAGATTCTATCCCTGGATTGTGCAAACAATGAAATAAGGCTTGTTGGCAACTAGCCGTTATTAGATTTCGAAGAGATTGCGCCCTTAATAATAAATTTGGGGAAATAATCAGACTTCCATTCCCTAGACCTAGACCTGGTTTGGTCTAGGTTCCATTCTGACCTGGTTTGCTCTGATGACAAGGACGACTGGTAATTTATTATTTTTGTGTTTCTGATAATTTAGTATTTTTTTGTTATGTGCATATGTAATAAAAATGTAATAAACTCCGTTTGTTTTCTCTTTTAATTAGTTAGTGCAGAAGATTATAACAAGGACGTTATAATTCCATCTTAATAACAGCCCCCACCGCTATAAACAGTCAACAATACACGAGCGTTAGATTGTGTCTGGGCACGTATGAATAGACCTTAACGCTGACGTCATATGCCGTTGATGACGTGCACCCATACAGATTTGGCCGTGACTATATATATTTTAGTCGTTTTTTCGCGTAAATACTATGTATAATACTACGGTTAAATAAGTCATGACGTCACAATTAATTCATATAACCATGGTTAGGTTTCTAACATTTGACATTTGTTTACTTGTTCATAACCTATAATTTTTGAAATGTGTTTTTACCTATTTATATTTAATTTCTATGCTTTTACCGGTGTAAATAAATTTCTTTGCCTCTTTTTATACCTAGTATATTCTTTTTCTATAGGTACTAGTTTTTTTAATACACGTTATCCAATTCTCCTACATGTTTAATACAAAAGAAGGAAGAATATAAAAAAACCTGCATATAATTCCTCCACTTGTGGAGATTCACAATATGGAGCACCCTATCATTTATTTTTACTGACAACACCCCGTTTACCATTTTAATACAAAGTTTAAATTCGGTTTAAGAGCAATTGTACCTACTTAAAATATTTTAAATTTCAAATGTAAACAACTTTTTGACAGAGAAAAATATATATTAAAAAGAGAAAGACTATTAACCACGTTGAATAACTAGCTCAGCGATATAGTTTTATGGTCTGGTATTTGTGACGTCATAGTTAGGATTTTTGAACGCACTCTAAACGCAAAAATGCCTTAACTATTAACCACGGTTAAGTTTAATAACCATAGTATTTCATGGTATTTACGCGAAAAAACGACTTTTGTCAGTCAAATTTTGTTTTGTCTATTTCGATTCTAGACACAGTTTAGATTGCCTTTCTTCCTTTCTCCTGTAAAAGATGAACAATACATAAGCTGTAGTGCTGTTTATAGATTCCCGTACGGAAATCTATAAACAAAACGGTTTTCGTATTGTTCATCTTTTACGGGATGGCAACATTGCACAGCAGTGTCGCCAATAAGAGAATATTTATATTCTATACTATTTTGAGTAGCATTTCGATGACGTGTACGTGGTTTAGTTTTAAATTTACTATAACCTATAACCTATAAGCGGAGCTGAAAGTAAAGAAAATAAAAAATACCGGGAACATCGCCATCGACAAAGCCCATACCCAGGAACACCACTTTATAATTTATAGACGATAAAGTGGACCGCTGCAATACCGATGCTGTCACGTTAATGTCATTCACCCCCACTCTCGGTTTACCTTTCGACACACATCAACAAAACAAACATATTAATCGCCCGAAAATGGACTAATTAATGGGAAAAACCGTTAAAGCGCGACGTTATCGTTCACGCTAGCGATGTGCGGGGTGTAAAGTGCGTTTTTGTGGTGATCGTTGGTAAAAATGGCCTCCCGTCGTGAAGTTTTGAAGGCTTCAATGGAGCCTGTTGGCAGCTCGACGGACCCTTTCAGGGAGCTCTTCGAGGCGTGCAAGTTGGGAGACATCGCCAGGGTGAGGACCCTGATCAACCCTCAAACGGTTAATGCTAGGGACACGGCCGGAAGGAAGTCTACACCTCTGCATTTTGCAGCTGGTAAGGCTTTTTGTTGATAGGGGCTCTTTTAGACACCAACCAATTGTCTTTGTTTATAATGTGTTTTGTTTTATTTTAATTATGATGGTTCCTACTCGAAACTAAAGAAGTTCCTATTAGATATTTATTTAATAATATAAGAGAAGCAATATTTGGTCCAAGAAGTTTTCCAAGAGATTTAATTAGTTTATTAACCAATGTAGGTAACATGAGAATCTTTAATTCAATCCAAGCCATGGCGAATACAAATAAAGATAATTTTTACTGGATTCTCTCAATTATCCCATTGTAATCTGCATACTTGATCAATACTTAAAAAATATTTTTTTATTCTTCAGTAACTTTAACTTAAGAATATTATAGGTAAATTATAATTATTTATTTCATTAGGCTAAGAAGTGACTTTTTTGTGCTAGGCTCATAAAAACCTAAAAGGTACTACGCTCCTCACCTCAAAGTCCCACCACGTGACCACGTACGGAACTCAGTCTTTTGAAAATTTGGCATTTAAGGCTTTTCAGGTTATGTATCTGTCAAAGTATAGTAAATGAAAGAAATCTTTATAGTATCACAATAACAATAGTTGGTTTAAGAATTTAGAAATATAAATACTGCATTTAATGATATTCTAAAGTGTATGGTGCCAAATAAGTGATATTTTTGGGCATTGGGTCTACATTTCTCCATAAAATAGTTTTAACTACGACGAATTATAAAAAAAAATCTATATTTTGGAATAAGAATATCTGTATCAAAGGTAGGTTAACGTAGGTATTAGAACAAAAAATAATAAAAAGGTTAGAAAAATCTATTTTGACCAAAATAAATAAGTGGATTATTTGGAAGAGTGTTAATATGGTCATAAATAAATATAGGTATACTAAATAATTGTTGAATATGGTTCAAATTAAATTGAAGCTTTTATACTTCTAATGACAAAACTTGTGCATACCTACTTTAAGTTAGATTATAAGAAAACAAACAATTTTTAGAGAAACTTGCAATGTGAAAATATTTAATACTCAAATGACATGTGATTTATTAAAATTTTTAAAGTTATAATGATTTTTTGATGTAGATCAAATGCTGTTCATTTAAAATTATTTTATGGAGAAATCCCGATATTTGGACCAAATCCACAAAAATATTACTTATTTGGCACCATACACTTTAGAATTTTATTAAATGCACTATTTATATTCCTAAATTCTTAAACCAACCATTGGTATTGTAATGTTATAAAGATTTATACATTTTTAACCCCTAAACATAATATTATTTCTTTCGTTGGGACTTTGAGGTGTGGAGCATAGTACAATTATTAAATGTATAAAGTGAGGTTAGATAAATCTGACAGTAGGGCCATTTCAAGCATGCAGACAAACAAATCACAAAACTGTTTTTATAAAAAAAGTTTTAGGTAATGCCTCGGGTAATGCATTAAAAATGTTCTTCTTTATTGGGTTAAAAAACAAGGAATATTTTATAAAAGTAGAGATAATTTGAAAAATGGACAACTGTCCATTATTAATATTATCTCTAATTTTATAAAATATTTCTTGCGTTTCTTTTATTTATTGTACAGCATTATAAAACAAGAACATTTTTGAAAATTTTGATGCCAAAATAATATAAGTATAATAAATTACCTACAATTTTTTTTATGAAAATAGTTTTGAAATTTATCCCATCGGCATGTTTGAAATGGCCCTATCAGATTTATCTAACCTCACTTTTGTACGATTTATGTTTTAATGAACCTAGCACATTCGTGCCTTTTGTTCTCTTAAAATGGCCCATTTCATGGGTCCAAAGTAGTAAATTAATTTTTATGGCCTTGGCCATAATGCAAACTTCTTAATAATGCATAATTCATTAAATTTAGCAACAAATACTAAAAAATGTATTGTCACTTTTTCATTAAACATCTCTATATATTTTTATTAAATTATTCGCAAATTTTTGTGGGAAAAATTTGCTTGATTACAATAGTAAAAAAAGTAAGTTTCCAATGGCAAAAAACGTAAAAATAGGCATCTGGTAGTACCAGACTAAATTTAAAAAAGAACATAAAATTTGGAAAAAGAACAGAAAAAAGCTGATGTTTGTTTTCACACATCTCTATTAATAATTAGTAAAATATAAGGAGAATTGATTTGTTCTTTTAAATGCAAATACATAATTAAACTAATTAATATTTAACAATATATTGTTAAATATTAATATATATTTCCATGTTTAATACAAAATATAATTTAAAAAAAACATCAACTGAACATCTGGATGAATTGTCTTTAATTATCTGGCAATAATAATACAAAATTTCTAGATGATGTAATAAGGCATAACTTGAATTTTAACGATTATCCAATCTTGTTTTTGTTATTCAGCAGACCATGCGTCTATCTAGAAAGTCCATATACATTTATTTATTGTATATAAAAATAGAAACTTTGCAGTGAAAGTGTTAAAAACAGTATTAAATAAATTAATAGTTTGTAAAATGCATACAAATATTTTTAACTTGTGCACCATGAAGAATAATAGTCAAATCAAATTTAGGCAATGATGATTTTAGGAAATAACGTTCATATCAACTTAGGTCACGGTAAAGTATAGGACGAATAAAAATGCCAACCAAAACTGATAGCATAATCTGATTATAGACTCTTTTGGTAACACAACACAAAAATGTATTTATCAAAATCCCAGCTGATCCTTTATTAAAGTTTTGGATATTTCTTAGTATTTTAAAATTGTTTATGCCATTTCGATAAAATACTCTAGTACCATTATCAAATGTTTTTAAAAATTTGGCAGATACATGACTGAAATATGGATAAATTACATTATAAATACAAAATAATGTAAAATACAGTTTGCAATATCTTATTTATTGTTTTAAGGTACCTAATACAAAACTAATAAATAACTAAAGATTCTTTGAAGCAAAATCATTTACTGCTTGCCTTAAATTTTCAGTAAAACTTTTTCTTGGGTTTTACATGGAATTGTTTTAAACATGGAAACAGTATTTTTAAATTCTTCAGTCTCTGTACAAACATGCTTCTTACATCTAGCGATATCCCCTAGAAAGGAAGAGCATATCAAAACTTTAGTTCGTTCGTCCGTCCTCTTCCCTTAATAATTTTTTATGCCCTTTATATCTTGCCATTTTGCAGATAAAGTACATACATTTTTGGCTGCCGCGAAATTCTCTAGCAATTTCTAAATTTTGAAAATTTGGCAATTGTGGCTATGCAAAAATACCGTTTTTACCATATTGAAGTAGGTAATTTTGAATCACTTATGTTCGTTTGAAAAAGTCTGCAGTAATTTTTATATTTTCTCAGAAACCCTAAACTCTGAATTTTTCGATTACCAAAAACAATTTTGTCTCCACAGCCAGCACATACCTTCTTTCGATTTTCTTCATGACTTAACTTGAATTTCGGTTTAATTTTCATTTTAAAATATGTATATATTTTTAACTTTATAAAGTATACATTAAATGAACAACTAAAGCAAAATGTCACTTGCGTTATAACGTATAGCAATTTTTTTCATAACCACCTTAATTATTGTTTTACAAAATTTGCAAGTTGTAATTATTTCATAGACAAACTTCCAGTATTTTTTGTTATAAAAAATATTTAAGATATAAATCTTCGTTTTTTTGTTATGTTTTGTTTTGAGTGGTAAAAAATAATAGGCGACTCAATAAAAAATTAAAATTGTACAGGTAGTTTTAGTACAAAAATTGCAAAATAATATATAGAAATAGAAAAACACCAAAAGGGTCTATAATCAAAATATGCTATCAGTTTTGATTGGCATTTTTGTTCGTCCTATACTTAAGTTTTGACCACCGTGTGGTATTCAAGATTGAAAAAAAAAATATTTTTGATGTTGATCCAGCAAAAAATCCCCAATTCCGACGCATTTTTTTTAGGTTATGGTAGACGCGATGTGGTGGAGTTCTTGCTGTCGGCTGGTGCCTCGATACAGGCGCGGGATGACGGAGGCCTTCACCCCCTTCACAACGCTTGCTCTTTCGGCCACGCAGACGTAGTCAGGTTATTGCTTGAGGCGGGAGCCAATCCGAACACTCGGGACAACTGGAACTACACTCCTCTACACGAGGCGGCTGTTAAGGGAAAAATCGACGTTTGCATAGGTCAGTCCCAAATCATATCTGGGGCAAAATTTGCCAAGTGTACCAGGTGAAAAAAATTTTTGTCACCGATTTTGTTTAAACTTTATTTATTTGTTGTTCTTATAAGGAAGAATCATAGCATAACATTTTTTTTCTCTAGGATTGTTCAATCAAGAGTTATGGATTATTGGAATTTATCGATTTTTTACTTTTTGGTGAAATCGCTTTTTATTTAAAAATTCTGTTCATCTCTTTATTAAATATTTCAATTTAACCACCTTAAATGATTTTTTCCGTACTTTTCAATGGGCTATACCGTTTTTGCAAAAAAAAATTTGCAATATTTTTTTGAAATTTTGGAAAAATTTGCATTTTTTGAAACAATGTGTATTTTTTAATTTTTTTTAAAATAGCATAAAATCGAAGTTTATTATGTTACCTTTGAATAAAAAAAAAATTTAGAGTGAGTGTAGAAGGGAAGTTTTTCATATTTGAATGCGTGCGGGTCTAGCCATCGAATAGCTACTACACTGCCGTATGCGTTTATACCTAATAGATGCGAGTAAACGAATACAAAATGATAATTTAAAATGTAAAATTATGTTTGAGTAGTCAATGATGTATTTAAACATAATTTAAGTGCTAAACTTTAATCTTTAAACTTTTATCTAATAAATGCTAAAACGGCGTGCCATACATATCCCTTGAGATATATTTCATTTGCAGTTTATTTGCTATTAAAATCAAAAATATTTTGATTTTTTGTGATGGGTGGGACAACTAGGCAAGTCAATTAAAACAATTTATTTAACAAATAATAACTTATTTTTTTTTATAAACGTTTAACAAGCTTGGCAATGAACACTTATTTCAATAAATGGGTCATTTTCAAAATTCTTGTACTATGCTTCACACCTCAAAGTCCCACCACGTGACCCCGTATACGGAACGCAGTCTTTTGAAAATTTGGCATTTAAGGCTTTTCAGGTTATGTATCTGTCAAAAGTATAGTCAACGAAAGAAATAATATTATGTTTAGGCGTTAAAAATTTATAAATCTTTATAACATTACAATAACAATGGATGGTTTAAGAATTTAAGAATATAAATACTGCATTTAATGAAATTCTAAATTGTATGGTGCCAAATAAGTAATATTTTTGTGCATTTGGTCCACATATCTGGTTTTCTCCATAAAATAATTTTAACTAAACAGCATTTATTAAAAAAAATCTAGCTTCTCGATTAAGGAATAAGAATATCTGTTTTAAAGGTAGGTTAATATATTATAACAAAAATATCATCTAATTTTGTAATTTTAAGGTTAGAAAAATTTATTTTGTCTAAAATAAATAAGTATTTTGGATTATTTAAAAGACTGGTATTTAAAAATGTGGTAGTTTTTCTTATCCATCTTAAAGTGTACCTACATAAAGTTTTGTCAATACAAATAGTTAAAACTTGAACTTGATCTACATCGAAAAATCATTATAACTTTAAAAGTTTTAATAAATCACATGTCATGGAAGTATTAAATATTTTCACATTGCAAGTTTCTCTAAAAATTGTTTGTTTTCTTATAATCTAACTTAAAGTGGGTATGCCCAAGTTTTGTCATTGGAAGTATAAATGCTTCAATTTAATTTGAACCATATTCAACAATTATTTAGTATACCTATATTTATTTATGACCATATTAACACACTCTTCCAAATAATCCACTTATTTATTTTGGTCAAAATAGATTTTTCTAACCTTAAAATACAAAATTAGATGATATTTTTTGTTCTAATACATTAACCTACCTTTGATACAGATATTCTTATTTCATAATAGAGAAGTTAGATTTTTTTTTAATAGTTAAAACTATTTTATGGAGAAATGTAGACCCAATGCACAAAAATATCACTTATATTGCACCTTACACTTTGGAATTTCATTAAATGCAGTATTTATATTCCTAAATTCTTAAACCAACCATTGTTATTGTGATACTGTAAAGATTTATTAACTTTTAACGCTTAAACATAAGCGGTAACACTATGAATATTATTTCTTTCATTGACTGTATAGACAGATACATGATGTGCAGTTCGTATGCTTTAAATGTATTGTTGACAATTCTTAAATTCACGCAATGCTGTTGAAGTCCACCAGATGGCGCGCGCGTTGCGAAAACCCGATACTTCTTTATCGTATAGCAGGGCTGGATGCTTCCGTGTACGAGTTTTGGTTCGTCCCGCGCATGATGTCACTTGATGAGTAGTTGCCGTGAGAATACACGAATAATATTATCAAAGAAAATAGAGAAATATCTGGACATAGTGCGTTTTTATTAAACTTAATATTGAAGAAAGTGTTTTAATTTGGATAATGGATGCTTTCAGTCCTTGATGACATTTAGGGCTGTAGTTTAAGCGTTGGTGTTTTAAATTAAACTGTCCAGAATATGTTTATAGGAAACAGAAGCGGTCTTAACGTTAATATTGTCTTTTCTTTTTGTGGCATTTAACCACTGTTTGCACAATTCAAAGTTTTTAGGGAATCGATGAAATTTAATGTGTTTATTTAAAGGGTTTTTCTTGGACTGGTTGTCCGAATTGCATCCAAATATGCCATTTGCATTTTAATAAATGCTAATGGCATGACACAAACTAAAACACAAACAAAACAAGTTAACGCAACACAAAAACAATAATAAACAAACCTAACAGGTTAACCTAACGCAATAACACTAATTTGAAAAGTAATTCTAACCTTACCGAACACAAAAACGACAAGTTAAACAAAAAGTAGAGCAAGTTAACATCCAAAAGCATCGCAAAAACAAGAATTTTAGCAGCAGATAATTAAAAAGCACGTTAAAGATTTAAAAACACTCATCAAGTGACGTATTTAAGCCCCGCCCAACATGCGCACCATCCTATCTTAAGGTGTATGTATCTTGAGAAGTATAAATAATGTAAGTTATGTTACATAACCTCAATGAAGCCGGATTATTCAACATCATCACAAAAAACTTTTTAAAAAAAAGTAAAACAAAATAAAAACAATAAACAAAGTTAAAATCATTCTTACATTTTTGTTGTTTATTTATAGGCATAGCACAATGCCAAGAGAAAAATCTAGTGTTTGGAATTATTACAAAATAGTGCAAAAAAAGTATCTTTTTAATATTCCTATATATTAGTTACTTTGTCCATTTTAATTTTTTTACGTAATATCTAGGATTTACTAGCAGTGAATTTCTAATAATAAACATTTTATTTTTATTTTGTAGGTTTCAGTATACAATAGGAATATTCCAAAGTAAAAGATACTAAAAATAGTATTGTAGTTACATTCTTATAAACATTTTTTTTTTCTTAATAAAATTTGACAAAAAGTTAATGTGTTATATATTTTTGCAAATCCCTGGCATAAAAAAAATATTTTCGCAATAAAAATTTTTTTTTTGAAACATTCCGAAAATTTCGGGAATTTTCGATGGAAAGTTTCCGGGAATCTTTGTCAAATGGGAATTTTCCCATCTCTAGTTATATATGTAGATACCATAGACTGTCAAAATATTATTACTCCTAAATATGTCTCGGCATGTCTCTCTCGAACGCATACCAAAGATTATTCTTAATGATCTTTTTTGTAGAACAAATACTCTATTTATTGATGTAATCCGTGTTTCATCCTTCAGCTCTTTTGCAACACGGCGCGGACGCCAGCGTGCGCAACACGGAGGGCAAGACGGCGCTGGAGGTGGCCGACGCCGTAACCAGACCCGTCCTGACGGGGGAGTACCGCAAGGACGAGCTGCTGGAGGCGGCGCGTTCGGGCGCCGAGGACCGCCTCCTGGCGCTGCTGAACCCGCTCAACGTCAACTGCCACGCCAGCGACGGGCGGCGGTCGACGCCGCTCCACCTGGCGGCCGGCTACAACCGCAACCGCGTCGTGCAGCTGCTGCTGCAGAACGGGGCCGACGTGCACGCCAAAGATAAGGGGTGAGACTCGACTTTTATGTCAATTTTTACGTGTCAAATTTGACCCCATCATCAATCGAGTATCATCCAAATATTTGATATTGGGTCACGTCAAATCTTCAGTCAAAATTTAGGTATGCCTGGAATTTTTTTTTTGTCTACGATACGAAAAATTATATGGACAATTTTAAGGTTTATGATTTTTTATAATTTTGGAATTTTGGAACTAGAAAAATGGATATTTATACAACCGTTCGTAAATAGGAAAAAATGTAACAATCTTCCACTTTGTTGGCAAAAGTTCGACATTGGGTCTTTTTTTTTTAATATTTTTGTATGCCTATTTTATAAACAAATAGCTTTTTGAAATTTCAGCATTTTCAGTTTTTTTTCCAAAATGTGGATGTGCTAGCCAAACTACAAAACATTGTATACAAATTTTAAAATGGACTGTTGAATATTCCATATTGCCTTAATATTTTTGGAATTTATAAAATCGACAAACGTTTTAAGATGTGTAAAAACAGGCACACAATAATTCCAGTGTGTTGATTATTTAAAACAGTTGGATTTACAAAATCGAAATCAAAATAAGCTTTTTCTAAAATATTTTGAACAAAATGTCACAACTTTGTTATTTCAAATAGGTTATTTTTAAATTCTAAGTAAAATTACTATACCTGGTATAAAAATAAATTTTTGCAAATAATTTTTTTTTGTTTAAATATTTAAAGCAAGACCTAATCTCGAACTTTTGCCAAAAAACCTTTACAAATGGTTATATAAAGATCGAAATATTCCATGCAGATGTAGATTTTGACTGAAAACTGAGGGGCCTTTCCATCTCAAATATAGGTCGTTATTTTTCAACGAAATTCTTTTTACAGTTTCTCCACCGAAATCGATAAGCCCGTATTTTTTTTTGCTTAAATTTGTTTTGTTTACCCGTAGGAAATTTTTAAAAAACATTGATTTTTCTCTTTTTACAAGTGACATTTTTTCTTGAAAATGCGAAAAATGTTTCAATCGTTACAATTTTGCAGGTAATGTTTACTAAATACAAAAAAGTGAATTCATTAATTGTTTTTTTCTAAAAAATAAAAAAAAAATTGAGGTCAAAATTTTGACATTGCCCCTTTTTTTTACTTTTTTTTTCGTTTAAATTTGATAGATAATATGAACAAATTTTATTATTTATTATTTTTTAATGAAAATGAAATTTTGTAGTAAATTGTGGTTCATCGCAAAAATTTGGTATTTTATCGACGGTCATGAAACTGGGGTAACCTTTATAAAGTGTTATTCAGAACTTTTTGACATATTTAACAAATTTTTGTCATTTCCCCTTTCACCGAAAATGCACTTAACTTTTTATTTTTTATTCAGTATGTCACTTGTCAATTTTTGAAAGGTAAAATTATTTTTTGATTAAATTTTATCTCTATATCTAGAGTGCCTTGAATTGGCTTTTCTGCTTCATGTTGGGTCAAGTAGTCTGGAAAAAATACAATTTTTATCCTTTTTTGCAATGCTGATTTTTAGTAGCTTTCAAAAATTAAAAAACCATACTTTATGCCCAAACTATTTTTTAAATAAGAGGGTGGTTCGTTGGTCATAAAAGAAATAAACTTTTTTTAAATTTGATACCAAATATTAATGCATTTTTTAATAATATCGCTTTCAAACTCTCTAAATTTGAATGTTTATTAAGTTTTAAAGTGTGTACAGAAGTAAATAAATTAAGAAGGCTTTAAAACCTTTGTGTTTAAAAAAAGTAAAGATTTGACAGTTTGTTTTGCTGGTAAGTGAATATTAACATTTTATTTTACTATGAAAACAACGCAAGAACTTTTGGGTGTAAGTAATTGCTCAACATTTTTTTATTTTGAAATATTTGGAAACGATTATAAAAAGTTACATTGTAGGGAATGTCTGGCAATAAATTTAAAAAAAACGAAATATGAAATCAAACGAAAATTTGTTATTCCTAAACATAATTAACCTGCGCATTAGTTTCTGGACCTCTTAGGCTTAATACTTATTTCCCTTCCTGATAGAGCCTCACTCAAAAAGACTGCCTCACTCATATCTGTTAACCGACCAACATTTTTCGGAATTGTTTGGGTTCTACTTTTCTTCGAAATCTCGTTTTTAAAAGTTAATTGTGCATTCAATTACTTTTTAGGTATGTAATACTTCTTTTTTTTATTATTTTAACCAAAATTAACTTCCATATATGTATATATACTTTTTATATGGATGATTCTACAAAAGTTGGGCAACTTTTGACCTCATTTTGTTTATATAGTTAAATTAAACAGTATTTTGTCATGAGAACATAGATAATATAATAAATATACTGTTCCAGACCGAGCCAGTCACTTTTTCAAACAGTTTCTGAAATATCTGTGTTTTCTAAATTTGTATGCAAGGGAAGTAAAGAGTATACCAGGGTACTAATTAAATACATACTTTATTGGAAAATATAAGATTTATTGCAACTTTGAGCATATAATACATTAAATATCTTAAAATCAAATAATAACACACATCAGTGGCGGCTGGTGGATTTTGGGTATACCGATATCTCAATTATTAGATATGGAACCCACTCCAAATTGATATGAGTTTATCATGACATTAAATAAACAAGTTCTGCGCAAGCAGAATTAAAATTGAAGTTTGCGAAAAAAAGATAACCGAAACATCGAACATAGAACTGACGACACGGTACTGATGAATGGGATTCAAATTTGAGAATTTGATTTCGCAGTAATTTTGAATTTTAACATTGGACACAGAACTGACGGGTAAAAGTACAAAGATTATCAATTTTTTAAAAATTGCTATTTTTCGAATCTATGATAAAATATGAAGAATACATTATTTAATGTTTTATAGTTTGTAGTGAAATTGAAAAATTTAAGATAAATTGAATATATTTTAAAATAAAATCACTCAAATATTTGATTCAGGAGTTGTGACACGCCAAGGTACTGATGTTTTGAATATTTATTATGTTTTTCTACAAACGTGCTTTTGAAAAAAAATTGGGTGGACAAGTTGTGCATCTTTTGTAATATACTAAAATATTTACAAAAAATATTAAAATACCTACTCTATTGACTGCTAACATCAAGTTGTCCAACTTTTGTAGAATCACCCATATCTTTTAAAAGTAACAAATGCAAAATTTTGTCAAAACAATTTTAAATAAAATTGAGTGAATTCACTTAATTTTTTATAATTTTTTTGTACGTTAGTAAACATTTACCTACAATTAAAAAAATTGTAACGATCGATACATTTTCGACTACGTTATCACATTTTCAAGAAAAAATGTCGGTCTTAAAAAGAGAAAAATCGAATTAAGGCAAAAAAAAATACGGGTCTCATTGATTTCGGTAGAGAAACTGTAAAAAAAAACTACTGGTCGGGACGACCCAATCATAATTTCGTTGTTTAGCGGCCTGGTTCCGCTGCACAACGCGTGCTCCTACGGTCACTTCGAGGTGACGGAAATGCTGATCAAACACGGGGCGAACGTCAACGCCAACGATTTGTGGGCTTTCACGCCTCTCCACGAGGCGGCGTCCAAGTCGCGCGTCGAAGTCTGCTCGCTGCTGCTCAGCGAAGGCGCCGACCCGCACCAACTCAACTGCCACTCCAAATCGGCCATCGACGTCGCGCCGACCAGAGACCTCCAAGAAAGACTGGCTTGTGAGTGCGCCTTTTAAAGTATTTTTAATGATACACTCACAGGCAAAATAATCGATCCACACAAATTTTCGATGAATTTCAATCGCAAATAACTTTTTTATTTGATGTCGGATTTAAACGAATATTAAAGAATATTGTAGATACATTAATGGAGAATCGCTCACGTTTTAAAAAATTACTAAAAAATAGACGTACGTTTATAATATACAGGTTTAAACAAAAAGATGTTTTTTACCATAAGTTTAAGACACTCTGTAGAGTGGCAAAACCGTATATTGTTCTAAATTAAGTTTTAATTATCAAGTCACATCTATTTTTAACAGTTTTTTTTTGGTTCACCTCGATATATTTATTTTTGTGGAAAATATGGATTTGTTTAAAAAAACATTGCTATCTCCAATATTTTTCCTGTATGAAGAACTAAGGTTGCTATGGTCCATCCATAGCTTACGGAGGATGACAGTGACAGTTTTGTTAAATCATCCCATACTTGGACATGTCATACACAGCTTTTAAAAGCTATCAAATTGTTTTTTGTAAATTAATGTGTTAATTTTGAGGTGTCTTCTTACTTTTAAAAATGTCTCCGACTGATGTTGCCCTTTGTACTTTACTTCTTGTGACGTTTAAAACACTTGCCACGGAATACTGTGACCGTCCATCCTGGATTAAATTAATGGCTCTGGCAACATCAGTCGGGGACATATCCATTTTTTAAAGTGAGAAGACACCTCAAAATTTAAACATTAATTTGCAAAAAACAATTTGATAGCTTTTGAAAGCCGTGTATGAAATGTCCAAGTATGGGATGATTCAACAAAACTGTCACTGTCATCCTCCATAGCCTATGGATGGACCATAGCAACCTTAGTTCTTCATACAGAAAAATAATGGAAATTGCAATGTTTTTTAAAAAAATCCATATTTTCCACAAAAATAAATATATCGAGGTGAACCAAAATCAAAACTGTTAAGAATAGATGTGACTTGATAAATAAAACTTAATTTAGAACAATATACGGTTTTGCCACTCTACAGAGTGGCTTAAACTTATGGTAAAAAAATATATTTGTTTAAACCTGTATATTATAAACGTACGTATATTTTTTAGTAATTTTTTAAAATGTGAGCGATTGTCCATTAATTTATCTACAATATTCTTTAATATTCGTTTAAATCCGACATCAAATAAACAAGTTATTTGCGATTGAAATTCATCGAAAATTTGTGTGGATCGATTATTTTGCCTGTGAGTGTAGTAATTGGACACATGGACCATAGTTATTGGACATACAATTTTTATATAACCATAACAACTTTACATCAAATAACATAAATTGTTAAATATTTTTTAAAGATAAATTGCTGTTTTAGGTAATTTATTTTATTTCGTTTTTGTAAATATAATATAATTCATATATTTCTTTCTCGGATTCCTCATCCCTTTTCTGGATTCTGAAGTTAACTACTAATTCCTTGGTCTGACTTCTGAAATAGTTTGTCGCAAATATCATTGAGTGTGGTATCTCTAGTTTGTGAAGCATTTATAATGTTTAGGCTGAAACAGGATTATTTATAAATATTAGGGTGTTTCAAAATAAGGCAATATTTTTATTTATTCAAATTCATGTAAAATTCTCGTAAATTGTGCTAAAAAAAAATTCTTTCAAAATTTGAGCTCTTAATATATTAATTTTAAAAGGTCCATCATCGAATTTAAAGTTTTCCCATTGATTTAACATGAAAAAATAGTTTTTTAAGATTTATTTCGCCTGCTCGCTATGTAGAACTTTTTTTTAATAAACAATCACTGGTTCTTTTTTAGCATTAAATTATCTACAAAAAATCTTACAGAGTCCAGTCTGTAGATTCAACTGTTTTTTTTTTATTAACGTTGAAACGTATAAATTCTAAAAAAAATCTTATAGAGTCCAGTTTGTAGATTCAACTCTTTCTTTTTTATTAACGTTAAAACGTATAAATTATAAAAAAAATTAATATTTTTATATTTAGCGGCTAAACTACAAATCGTACCTACAGTTCAAAAGTTAAAAGTGTCTAAAATCCCATTTTCATGATTATGCATAATATATTATAATAATAACAATTTTTAAAACAAATTTGTAGAGCATTAAAAGATCTTTAAAATTGCTAATTAACTTTTTCTTCTACGATTAATACTTTAGCCGCTAAATGTAAAAATATTAATTTTTTTTTTATAATTTATACGTTTTAACGTTAATAAAAAAGAAAGAGTTGAATCTACAAACTGGACTCTATAAGATTTTTTGTAGATAATTTAATGCTAAAAAAGGACCAGTGATTGTTAATCAAAAAAAAGTTCTACATAGCATGCAGGCGAAATAAATCTGAAAAAACTATTTTTCCATGTTAAATCAATGGGAAAACTTTAAATTTGATGATGGACCTATTAAAATTAATATTAAGAGCTCAAATTTTGACAGAATTTTTTTTTCAGCATAAGAATTTCACATGAATTTGAAAAAAGAAAAATATTGCCTTATTTTGAAACACCCTAATACATATCTAATATTTTTTCGGGTGGCATGTTAAAAGTATTTTCCGAATTTATTAATTTTGTTCCATTAGTTTATGTTCTCGATCATGCACTGTATTCTGCAAGGTGTCCTGTGACGAATAAATCACTATATTACTTACTCTCTAAAAATGAATTAGTCAAAAATGTCATAGCGAAAAAGCAGCCACTAATAATTCTCGTCAACAGCAATTTTTATCCAGGACATTAAGCACTCAATTTCTATGAAATATAATTTGCTGAATCCGAAAATGTCGTCAAAAGTTATAAAAGTAGGACAGTTTTTGAAATATAATCAATTTTACATATAATATGGAATTGACTACATATATCTCAAAAACTGCTTAACTTTTATAGTTTTTGACGGTCTTTTCGGATTCAGGGGACAATTTTACATAAGAATCTATATTATTACCGACTGAGATAGTTATAATTGTATACAGCGTCATCTAATGATTTGACTTTAAGGTAACTATTTGTAGAACTCTTGTTTTTACAGTATTAATGTTAACTGTCCAATAACTATGAAGTGTCCGGTAACAATTTTTCAATACTCGTCGAACAGTTTTGTTCATCTCGTTATTTCAGACGAGTACAAGGGACACTTATTATTGGAGGCGGCTCGCCAAGCCGACACGGGCAAGCTGAAGAAGTATTTGACCCCCGAGATTATCAACTTTAAACACCCCTATACCGGTGATACCGCACTGCATATAGCTGTGAATTCGCTGTATCCGAAACGAAAGCAGGTTCTGGAAACCCTAATTCGCAAAGGTGCCAATTTAAATGAGGAAAATAAGGACTTTCTGTCGCCTCTTCATTTAGCCGCCGATAACTCTAATTATGATCTCATGGATGTTTTACTAAGACATGGTGCCAAAGTAAGTAGTACAGTTTGTCCCAAAAAAATCTTGCCATATGAGACAAAATCTAACAAATGATACAATATTTTTTCTTAGATTTTTATAGAACTTTCAGTGTTTCCAAAATTGATTCTTCTTTCAGAACTGTTGTAAATTTGCTATGATTTTCCTAGAACTTTATACAACGTTCTTAAAATATCTTAAAATAAATATAAAAATTCTATAACGTAAAATCCACATCTAATTGACAAAAAATACAAAATAAAAACAAATTCCTTTGTTCAAACTTGAAGAAAAATCAATGTTTAAAAAGGTTAAAAACTCATTTTGGACTAAAAGAATAATTAAATAATAATAACTAAACCAGCGTTTTTTGTTTAAAACTGTTTTTAGGTATGTTTTTTTATGGTTAATTTAAATCACGTTTAAAACATTTTACGATAAATCAAAGACAAAAATCCAATAATTTTAGTAAATGCAATGGTTCAAACATTCACAAACCAAACACTTGGAATTTGTAGTCAAAATTGTTTGTTGTTTTATGACTTTTTTTTCAAGATGTCTAAGCTTAGAATTCAGTTATATCCCTTGGATACCAAGTAAACTGTACTGTAACGTTTTTAACTTAATTACACTTTTAAGTGTTTTAAATAAAACACTAAGAAACTATAAAAGTAACTAATCACTACTGTACAAGAGTCTATTTATCTTATTTCGTCGCGAGTACCAAAGCTTGACAGCCTGCTCCATGCTCCGTTGTGCCTTATATATTCAGTGCCTACGTGACCCACGTTCTCGATTGAAACAGCCCTTATCTTAAAGCGCATATAAAATATGACTAATTGCGTTTTAACAGGTGAATGCCGTAGACGGGTTGGGACAGACGGCTTTACACAGACGCGCACGTGAAGATGATGCGCAAGGGTGTCGTATTCTCCTATCTTTCGGCGCAGACGCTAGCCTAGTATCATTACAAGGTTATACACCTCTGCAGGTGGCTTCAGAAAACGTCGCGAAACTATTACAAGGTAATCGCCGCGAAGGAAATGTTTAAACAAAACAAAGAACCGAATGAATCTTATTTTAGACCCCCCCACTACCAGTGCAGATGTGGAGTGCCAAATTTTGGAAGCGGCCAAATCGGGCGATTTGGAGCAAGTGCAAAGACTTTTGACAGCTTACCCGCATATTGTCAACTGTCGAGACCTAGACGGTAGACACTCGACCCCTCTGCATTTTGCTGCCGGGTACAACCGAGTGTCTGTGGTGGAGTATTTGCTTCAGCAAGGTGCAGATGTCCATGCCAAAGACAAAGGGTAAGTGCTTAAAAATTTACTTATTATACCAAATGTAATCACCCATCATGGCTGCATCCCAGAAGCCGTGATACCGCCGCTCCATAGCCTTCATATGCTGGTGAAAACGTTCTCCGCGCTCATCACTTACGTCGCCCGGATTGTGCGGGTTATTTACGCACTCGAACTCTCTACTTCTTTTACTCATTTTACACTTTTTATTATCTAAATAAAACCATGATAAAATACCTTGTTGAAATATCAAAAAATAGCTATTAGCACACGAGAAACAAAAGAATTCACGTTTGCGGAGTCATGTCAAATTTAAATAATGTTTTCGGTGAAAAAATTACGTAAAAAACTCAAAAAATTCCAATCATGCTCTTTACTTAGGTTTTCATTAAAGAATAAACATATTACAAAATAAAAGAACAAAATAAAATAAAAATCGTCAAAAGTCTTCCATTAAAAAATTCATAACTTCTCCATTTTTCCATGTTTTTTTTATCAACATTAGCTTGTTTTTTTTTTGTAAAATTGTCAGCTTCACGAAAAAAATCTGTTATCTGTTTGATTTAAACCCTTCCCAGGACGATATGTAAATTTTCGACCTCAATTTTTGCCATAAGAACGATTTTTTTAAGTTATTAAAATCGCTAGCGTCAAAATACTTATCCGATATCAAAAGTATGTAAAAGAAAGTTTTAGAGGGCTCAAATACCTTCAATTTAAGGGCTTGTTTGACCAAATCGATCAATTAGATTTCAAGCTATACTCAAAAACGTAAAACACCTCCGAAAATTGAAAAAAAAAACAATTGAAAATTCATATTTTAAAAATGCTTCCATAAAAAAAATTGAGTGTGATTTTCGTGTTTAGTGGATCAAAATATATAGAAAAATTATAATGGGATTTGGTGGGCAGAATTTTTTTTTCGATTTTGTAAACTAGTGTTACTATGTGCTCTTCAAAAAATCCTTATCTAAAATTTATGATGGAAATATCAACTAACGATTTCTCGAAAAAAAAAAATAGAAATAAAATTCAAAATGGATTTCTAAAGGGAAACAGTGGTAATTTCAGATGGCGTAACTAGTTTTGTGGAGAAAAAATATGTTGTAATAAAATATTACCCCAAATATTTAAAAAAAACTGCCTCTCTCACTTTTGGGTTAAAATTTGTACATCTTACGAAAAATTATATATACCAAGTACCCTTCTAAAAATATGATTTATGTAGTGTAAAATATTTTTTAATTTAAAAGTCTATTTTAATTAAATTTAAGAATTGAAAAAAAACGGCGGTTTTTAAAATATTTGAAAATAACTTATAACCTGTTAAAATTAAAAATCGTTATAACTTCGTTATTCCTGTAAATTAAAAATTAAATAAGTTTTACATGTAGAGATACACATTTCTTCATTATTATATTTCCATTACTATATTTTGTTTATATAGATACATATATTAGGTAAACCGCATATATGCTGTTGATTTAAAGATTTTTGTTTTTTACTTATAAGTATATAAAAAGGATAGTTTGTTTGTTTATACTTTTTTTACTTTTATTAAAAAATAAGAATATTTAATAATACATAACATTTTTATATACACATAACAACTTTACATCAAATAACATAAATTGTTAAATATTTTTTAAAGATAAATTGCTGTTTTAGGTATTTTTTTTATTTCATCTTTGTAAATATCATATAATACATATATTTCCCTCTTGGACTGACTTCTAAAATAGTTTGTTGCAAATATCATTAAGTGTGTTATCTCTAGTTTGTGAAGCATTTATAATGTTTAGGCCGGAACAGGATGATTTATTTATATCTAATATTTTTTCGGGTGGTATGTTAAAAGTATTTTCCGAATTTATTACTTTTGTTACCGTTAGTTTTTTTATGTTCTCTATCATGCACTGTATTTAAATCACTGTTATCCTGTGACGAAGAAATCACTATATTACTTGCTCTCTAAAAATGAATTAGTCAAAAATGTCATAGCGAAAAAGCAGCCACTAATAATTATCGTCAACAGCAATTTGTACCCGGGAAATTTAGCAGTCAATTCCTATAAAATATTATTTGCTGAATCCGAAAATGTCGTCAAAAGTTATAAAAGTAGGACAGTTTTTGAAATATAATCAATTTTACATATAATATGGAATTGACTATATCTTAAAAACGGCTTAACTTTTATAGTTTTTGACGGTCTTTTCGGATTCAGGGGACAATTTAACATAATAATTTGGCTGATAAATGACTGGGATACAAATAGAGTATGATATTGGACATACATCCAATAATAGAAATTTACATTTTTTACCAACCAGTAATTGGACACTGGCAATTTTACTGTTTGTTTTTAGAATTAAAATTAAAACGCATCTGTACACTTTTTAGAAATATTTTTTGTTGTAATTTAAACACAGCTCTGCTCTTAACAAAAAAAAAACAAAAATCTTGCCACCTAAGTAACGTGCGAACTTGTTTGTCGTATATTGGACCCAAAATAAAGTAGTTCTATATTGTTACCGACTGAGATAGTTATAATATACAGCGTCAATTTTTGTTTTTTAGTGGTTTAGTTCCTCTGCACAACGCCTGTTCTTATGGGCACTACGAAGTCACGGAATTGCTGGTTAAACACGGAGCCAGCGTGAATGTGGCGGATTTGTGGAAATTTACCCCGCTGCACGAGGCCGCAGCCAAAGGAAAATACGAAATAGTTAAATTGTTGCTCAAGGTAAGCCGTTGTTTATTAAACAGGGCTCCCACACCTCCTAAAATTCATGAAACTCCTAAAATTGCCATCAATCTCCTAAAACTCCTAAAAATTAAATATAAGTAGGCCAACTTGACTGCGTTTAATTTAGGTAGTTGTGCTAAAAAATTCTTTTTTAAAAAGTAATTTAAAAAATATATATTTTTGGGTTCTAGTTTATTAAATTCTTTTTAAAATGATATAGGTATCACAACCTACATTTTTCTTAAAAAAACAACAAAATATACCATAAAACAAAATCCATGTAGTAGCTTCTAGACTTCTACAAAATTGTCATTTTTAGCCATATTTCGTTAATTTTCGACAAAAATATACCGTGTTATATATCAAACAAACGGATTTTTAATTTTCTTTTAAATGATAGCTAAAATAGTAAACAATCTAAAGAATGTTTTGCTGTATCATGCACTTTATATTCTATTCTATTATGAGATTTTTTAGTAACAATAACATTACAATTATTGTTAAATTTTTTTTTCAAAATATAAATATAACATCATTAAACTTTGGCCTACTTTTTTAGCCATATCTATCGACGCTTTTTTTAAATAAAATTAAAAGTGTGGTGAAATTTCTACTTGTAGATATATACAAAAGTAGTAATTTTACCTCACTTTTCATTTTATTAAATAAAAAACTCGTCGAGCGATTTGGCTAAAAAACTAGTCAATATAACCTATTTGTACAAAAGAAGTGATATTTATTTATATTTTTGTTAAAAAGAATTACTTATTTTTTAAGTATAGTGTACAGTTGTTTTTATTTAATTGAATATATTCATTTGCGTACTTTTTTCTCCTAAAATTCTCCAAAAAACCTCCTAAATTCCTAAATAAAATTTGTAATTTAACCGTGGGAGCCCTGATTAAAATGTTTGTTGGAAATTACATTTTCTTTTTAGCACGGTGCGGATCAAACCAAGAAAAACCGAGACAGCGCCACCCCTCTAGACTTGGTCAGAGAAGGCGACCAAGACGTTGCCGATTTGCTGCGCGGCAACGCTGCGCTGTTGGACGCGGCCAAGAAAGGCAACCTCGCCAGGGTACAAAGACTTGTTACTGTGGAGAATATTAACTGCAGAGACGTGCAGGGACGCAACTCCACCCCTCTTCACTTGGCCGGTAAATATATCTGTTGATTTATTTATATCAACTGATTTAGCATATCAGTGGATATAGGTTTTTGCACGACATGGCAACGCACTAATTTTCTTTAGAAACTGTTTCCTAGTAGCAATGGAATTGGACAAGATTCTTTGTCAAGATACTTGGAGAAGCACTTTGTAAAGAATTGGACAATTCTTGACCAAGACTCTTCATCAAAATTCTTTATCCAGACTGGTGGCAGACTTGTCTGTGACCAGAATTTGACCAGATTCTTGGCCAAGAATTTTTACACGATTACACGTTAAATAGGAACATTCAATTCAAGATTTTTGGTCAATACAAAATTTTGTTGAACTTCAAAAGTTAAGAATGTTACTAAAAACATTAATTTTCCACGATTTCTTTCCAGTAAATTCGGTTTTTATCCATAAATCTGGTAAACAATAGAATTAAAAACGAAACAAATTTTGAAAGAGTTAAAGTTTTGAATTTTCTATGTTAAAAAAAAAAACAGGTGCCCGTAAAAATAAACATGTATTTTATAATCTTTCATGTTCATAAAGAGTAAACTCTAGTTATGCGTCAGAGCTGACACACTTTTTTTTTTTTAATTTTTGATTTTTAGAAATAACAATTTTTATTTTTCAAAAAATCAATTTTTTTCTCAGCTAGAAGACGAATCCAATAAGCTCTTATTCGTATTTTCACATAAACAAAAAAACTATCCTCATTTCCTACAGAGAACTCACTTCTTGACTAGTATACATTATTGTGAATGATACTAGTGTAGAATGAGAACCTCTACTCTATAGGATAGTCCCAAAGTTTAGCAATAGATGGCCTCAGATTTCTGGTCAAATTCTTGTCAAATTCTGGCCACAGTCTGGCTCAAGTCTTGCCCAATAATCTTGGCCAAGAATCTGGAACAATTCTTGAGCAAAAATCTGTCCAAAGTATCTTGACCCATGCTGGGCCAAGACTTTTCCGGAATTGCTACTAGGGTTGTTTTATAAAATAAATTGGGTCATTAATAAACGAAAACGATTTGTTTACAGCCGGCTATAATAATGTTGACGTGGCGGAATTTCTTTTGGAGCACGGTGCGGACGTCAACGCTCAGGATAAGGGAGGGCTTATACCTCTCCACAACGCTTCCAGTTACGGTCACTTGGATATTGCGGCGCTGCTGATCAAATACAACACCGTAGTCAACGCTACCGATAAGTGGGGATTCACTCCTTTGCACGAGGCCGCCCAAAAGGGAAGGACACAGCTTTGTGCTTTACTGGTGAGTGCATCTCAAGTCTTATGACATTTCGCTGCTAAGGCTTTTAAGAAAATATTAAAATTCAATTTTACATTTTTTTGGGTTTTCTGTATTTTTTCTATTTAACTTCATGCACACTACTTATTTTTTATCTGTGGTCCAGATCATTTAAAAATTATTTTTACAAAAAATGTATTGGACGTTTGAAAAAAAATTGTAATTTTTTTGCAGAGTATTAGATAATAGTTTGAAGATTAAAGTTTAGCACTTTCATGATGTTTTAACAGAAATTTACAAAGTTTAATTTTTTTAAACTCAAAACAATTGATAGCCAACAAATATAAAATACAACTGTAAAATTTTAATCTATCTACAGAATATTTTATTTAAATAATAGTCTAAATTTTTAATACAAAAATTCTCACAACACATTTAAACTTAAATTTTAAAGTGGTAATTTTTAAATTAAAAATTTATCGGCAATTATTTAAATGGCTCTTTACAAATTTAAACCAATAATTTTGCAGAATAAAATTTTTAAAAAACAATATTTTAAACTTGAACTTTTACATTTGCATTTTATATTTAAAATATTTTTTAATTATCAAATGTTTATAGATTAAAAAAATTTAACTTTTTAATCTATTTTGGTAGAAAATATTTTTTATGTGTTTTTTATTTTAAATGTCTTGAAACTATTTTTTAATACTAAAAAAATTAACTTTACCAATTTAATCTAATTAATTTTATAAAAAATTTATTTAGGATTTACAAAATTCTGCCCAAATAAATTATACTTAAGAAATTATTTTTATTAAAACATTTGTTTTATACAGAAGTGAACCGTTAGTAAATTTTGTCTTCAATAGGTGATAGTGGAAAATATTTTAAATTTATAAATGTAAACTTAAAATTTTTAGTTGGAAAAATTTCAAACCAATAAAACTACAGGGCTGACAAATAACATGATATTTATATAAATATCTAATTATCTGATAAATATACCCGATATATATCAAAATTTGGATATTTATTTCTATTTTTTTATTATAATTATTTTCTGCTTTAGAGAATTAAAGATACTCTGCCCGTCGAAATTAACGAATAATAAGTAATAGTACATTCTGTAACAAGTTTGGAATACAGCATATTCCGCTCGAGGAAAAATTTGACTCACGAGCCGAAGGCGAGTGTGACGGTTTTACGAGAGTGGAATATGCTATTTCAAACGTGTTTCAGACATTATTTTCTCTACGACTACGTAAGAATAGTAACGCTTATATAATTTTAAACAGTGAAAAGAAAACAAGCAGTTTTTGACATTTAAGTTTTTTGTATTGTCAAACCATTTTGTGCTGTCACAATTTTATAATGTAAATTATAATAAATTTAAAAAAATGGTATGCCTAAATCTTTATTATAATTAAAAATAGTTATTTACACTAACTAATAAAAAAAATAACATTGTAACAAATACAAAACTAATTTTACAAGTAATCTATGTCAACATCTATTATTTTTCTACATTTTAAAGGTCTTTTTATAAACTTTTTGAATCTGTCAAAACTTCAAAGCCGGTATAGTAGGAAACTGGTTTATAATTTTAATATCAAATTTATTATAATTTTGATTTGTATATTTGAAAAACAATAAATATAACTAATTTTTTGTGCCTAAACCTTAATTATACAACTGCTATTATTTTTTAATTAATAAATAATACAGTAATATTTAAATATTTTTAATTTTTTTACGCTTAGTAAACAGCCAGGAGATGTCGTTACTTGTGACCATTCTTAACCAAGAGTAGGAATATTCTCGCACAGTATTGCAGAAAAACATCCTTTCTATGATCAAAAATTACACTAGAATGTTACTATTCTTAAGTAGTCGTAGAGAAAAAAAATTCTACTCTAAAACGCCTTTACCAATCTTTATAAAATTTTGAATAAAAATACTTTGACTTATACCTCAGTTTACGTGTTCAAGGGTTTTCGAGAAATTACCCTTAAAGCCCTATTTAATAATAAAAAACGCTAAAAAAACTTTTATAGGGAATTTTTTAAGTATATAAAAAATATGCTGTAAAATACCTTATTTTTGCAAGTATACCCTAAAAATGTTGTACAAATCAAACGAACAGTTCAAAGTCGTCGACTTTTCAGCAAAATAATCAAAAAGGGGTAATTTTTACCGACTTTCAAGCACTGTATCTTCGTTACTGTTCGTTTTCAAAATACGGTCTTTAACAGCAAATTTTTTAATTACTTAAAAAAAAATTCCCTAAAAGTTATTTTTCAAACGTTATTATTATTATTAAATAAAAGAGCTTTAAAAATATTTTCTCGAAAAACCCTCGAACACGTAAACTGAGATATAAGTTGAATTATTTTTATACAAAATTTCATAAAGATTAGTAAAGGCGTTTTAGAATTTTTTTTCTTATTATGCGTTAATTTTGACGCGCAGTGAGTTTAAAATTTTATAAACATGTAAATTTGTATTTCAATTCTATTCTATTCAATGAAAGTTGCTATCACAATAACAAGTTTTTTTAGTACATACTAGTATGTATAGAAATGTAAAATGTAGGTAAAAAATACAAATTTATATATATATATATAAACACATTATATATTTTTGATTTTGCAATTAAAAACAAAAAAAATGAAAAACTACAACAGCCAATAGAAAACACAATTAAAATAATATTTTTAATAAAAAACAAAAAACAATAAAAGCAGTAAAAAAGGTTGACTAGAAACAAGTAAGTTTAGGATGAAATCAGTCTGGCTAATGGTAGATTCAGATCAGAATCTGAATCTTCATTTTCATAAATGCAACAGAAACATTTAGAAAATCCCTGTACTGATTAATAGAATTTTAGAAGAAAACAAATATTGATATATACTCGTACTCTCACAGGCGAAATAATCGATCCACACAAATTTTTGATGAATTTCAATCGCAAATAACTTTTTATTTGATGTCGGATTTAAACGAATATTAAAGAATATTGTAGAAAGATTAATGGACAATCGCCCACATTTTAAAAAATTACCAAAAAATTAACGTACCTTTATAATATACAGGTTTAAACAAAAATATGTTTTTTACAATAATTTTAAGACACTCTATAGAGTGGCAAAACCGTATATTGTTCTAAATTAAGTTTTATTTATTAAGTCACATCTATTTTTAACAGTTTTGTTTTTGGTTCACCTCGATATATTTATTTTTGTGGAAAATATGGATTTTTTTTAAAACATTGCAATTTCCAATATTTTTCCTGTATGAAGAACTAAGGTTGCTATGGTCCATCCATAGCCTACGGAGGATGACAGTGACAGTTTTGTTGAATCATCCCTTACTTGGACATGTCATATACGGCTTTCAAAAGCTATCAAATTGTTTTTGTAAATTAATGTGTTAATTTTGAGGTGTCTTCTTACTTTTAAAAATGTCTCCAACTGATGTTTCCCTTTGTACATTACTTCTTATGACGTTTAAAACACTTGCCACGTAATACTGTGACAGTCCATCCTGGATTAAATTAATTGCTCTGGCAACATCAGTCGGGGACATATCCAATTTTTAAAGTAAGAAGACACCCCAAAATTTAAACATTAATTTGCAAAAAACAATTTGATAGCTTTTGAAAGCCGTGTATGACATGTCCAAGTATGGGATGATTCAACAAAACTATCACTGTCATTCTCCATAGCATATGGATGGACCATAGCAACCTTAGTTCTTCATACAGAAAAAATATTGGAAATTGCAATGTTTTAAAAAAAAATCCATATTTTCCATAAAAATAAATATATTGAGGTGAACCAAAAACAAAACTGTTAAGAGTAGATGTGACTTGATAAATAAAACTTAATTTAGAACAATATACGGTTTAGCCACTCTACAGAGTGTCTTAAACTTATGGTAAAAAACATCTTTTTGTTTAAACCTGTATATTATAAACGTACGTCTATTTTTTAGTATTTTTTTAAAATGTGAGCGATTGTCCATTAATTTATCTACAATATTCTTTAATATTTGTTTAAATCCGAAATCAAATAAAAAAGTTATTTGCGATTGAAATTCATCGAAAATTTGTGTGGATCGATTATTTTGCCTGTGAGTGTAGTGGATTAGTTTGTGTTGAGATCCAAGCAACATTTTGAATTTGACTGCAGCTGGCTCACGGCGCCGACCCGTTCCTGAAAAATCAAGAGGCGCAAGCCCCGGTGGACTTGGCGACCGCCGACGACGTCCAGTGTCTACTGCAGGACGCCATGGCGTCGCAGCAAGGCGTCGCCGTGACGCCGTCTCGCCCGGCGTCGGTCGCCTCGGCGGCCGGACAGGCGCCCGGCACGCCTCTGGCGGCGGGCGCCGCCGCCGCGGCGGTCCCGACCGCCTCCTCCGTCAACTCGGAGACCGTCATCATGCCCTCGGGCGCGGCGGTGCAGCTGCTGGTGCCCATCGGAACCAGGGCCAGCATGTCCATGTCCGTAGCAGATGGTAAGCAATACTATTAGTTTTTTGTTGCGTTCGTTCATTTTACAGACAAAAAGTTACATTCCATGATATTTCCTGTACCCTAGTAGCAATTCCGGAAAAGTCTTGGCCCAGCATGGGTCAAGATACTTTGGACAGATTTTTGCTCAAGAATTGTACAAGAATTGTTCCAGATTCTTGGCCAAGATTATTGGGCAAGACTTGAGCCAGACTATTGCCAGAATTTGACCAGAAATCTGAGGCCATCTATTGCTAAACTTTGGGACTATCCTATAGAGTAGCGGTTCTCATTCTACAGTAGTATCATTCACAATAATGTATACTAGTCGAGAAGTGAGTTCTCTGTAGGAAATGAGTATAGTTTTTTTGTTTATGTGGAAATACGAATAAGAGCTTATTGGATTCGTTTTCTAGCTGAGAAAAAAAATGATTTTTTGAAAAATAAAAATTGTTATTTCTAAAAATCAAAAAATAAAAAAAAAAGTGTGTGTCAGCTCTGACGCATAACTAGAGTTTACTCTTTATGAACATGTTTATTTTTACGGGCACCTGGTTTTTTTTTAACATAGAAAATTAAAAACTTTAACTCTTTCAAAATTTGTTTCGTTTTTAATTCTATTGTTTACCAGATTTATGGATAAAAACCGAATTTACTGGAAAGAAATCGTGAAAAATTAATGTTTTTAGTAACATTCTTAACTTTTGAAGTTCAACAAAATTTTGTATTGACCAAAAATCTTGAATTGAAAGTTCCTATTTAACGTGTAATCGTGTAAAAATTCTTGGCCAAGAATCTGGTCAAATTCTGGTCACAGACTTGTCCAAGTCTGCCACCAGTCTGGATAAAGAATTTTGATCAAGAGTCTTGGTCAAGAATTGTCCAATTCTTTACAAAGTGCTTCTCCAAGTATCTTGACAAAGAATCTTGTCCAATTCCATTGCTACTAGGGTAATGCCTGTACAAAATAATACCATATATTCCTTAGAGCGAAATAATGCGATACAACTAGGGTTGGGACAGTTGAAATTTTCAAATGAAAATTTCAACTTTGAAAGTTTCAAACTTTAAATATTTCATTTAGTTGGAAAAGTGAAATTTATAAAAATTTCAAATAAGATTTCCAATGCGAAAATTTCAACATTTCCTGTGAAAGTTTCAGAAATTTCATTAAAAGTTTCGCAATTTACTGAAAATTTTGCATAAATTTCACATGCGGCCTCCCCTGGGACCTTTAATAATAATTTACAACAGATTCCGAATCGACCAATAAGAACGAGTTATCAAGCGTCTGAGCGTTTTTGTTTAGTTCGGCCTGGATTTGAATACACTATAAGTAATTATTGTTACTTATATGCACAATTTAATTTGCAAATTAAATCAGACTTTAATTTTTTTTTAAAAGTCATGATTAATTTAACTTTTACTTTTGCTATAATTGCATGGGAAAACGGATAAAAAATGCCTTTGGCTCATAAAATTTTGATGAAGTTTCTTCAATTTTCGTAAAATTTCAGTAAAATATTTAAAAATAATAAATATATATAAATATAAAACAATGAAAGTGGCAAAATCTCATTAGCTTACCAAAAAGTGCTATATCTCTTTTAGTTTTAGTAATTTTAAAAGGAAATCTCAAGAAATTTGTGGTAAACATAGGTATTTACTATTTATATTATTGGTGCAGGGGCCCACAGAGGGGTAAATTGCCATGGTCCCCGAGTGGGCTTATTTCAATATTAATATATTACACTTAAAGTGATTGAAATTTATTGAAAGTTTCAATAAATTTCAGAAATTTAGAAAATTTTAATAAATTTCATAAATGTCACGAAAATTTCAAGTGAAATTTCAAGACAAGCAAAAAGTGAAATTTTCCCAACCCTAGATACAACTAAATTTATCTCTGTACAAAAGTTCATCATGACATAATTGCAATTGTTGGATCCCATTTTTCAAATAATTATTTATAATAATTATAATTAACTTTCCAAATAATAAGTCTACACCCCTTTCTACACTGCACTTTTCGCTCTCGCTTCACTATGGTCAAAAAACACCGTTTCGCAACGTAAAACACAAATAACGTGCGCGATTTAGCTGTGTAATTGAACAAAATTTGTCGAGTAAGACTTCTGCCTTCCTCTCTTTTGTGGAAAAACTACCTATTTATTAAAAAATGATGTATAATCTTTGCTCCACCAGATGGCGCGCGCGTTGTGAAAACCCGATACTTCTTTAGCGTATTGCATTCATTCATTTTACAGACAAAAATGCTACATTTCATGATATACCCTGTAATGCCTGTACAAAATAATAACATATATTCCTGAGACCGAAATATTGCAATGTAACTAAATTTACCTCCGTACAAAAGTTCATCATAACATAACTGCAATTGCTGGATCCCTCATCCAGCAATCCAGCTGGATCCAGCGCATTTTTCAAATAATTATTTAATTAATTAATATATTGAGATGTCCACCAAGTGAAAATGATTTTTTATTTTTGGTTGTTTCACTATTAGTCTAGAATGGGGTTTTTGGGAAGCCACCAGGTCTAGTAATAACATAGCATAAGTGGTTCTTCACTAATGCAAGAATTTTAAGAAATCATACATTTTGAATATTAGAGCTTCACGGAAGATAGCTTCACGGAGGTTAGGATTTCGTATGTTTTTTTAAAACATCCCTTTGTAAATTTGAAATAAGTTATTGTATCTTTTGACACCTTAATATTTAAAAAAAATACAATTGTAGATACATAAAATATTTATAAAAAAAATCTACTTACTGAGATATTACAATTCACGGTGGATAGGTTTTTAAATAGCAAATTAATGAACTTAAACTTTTGAATTATAACACAGCAACACTCTCATCTGCATATAAATTCTAACTGACCTTTGGAATCACATGCATCTATAATGTCGTAAACAGAGGTTTTTGCTTATTTAAAATGATTAAAACGCCATCCGTTGCATAAAATTTAAAGCAAAAACAGATCCACGGAGGATATAATCAATTTTTGTCACACCTACATAAATGGTTATGAAAATTATTGCTTTTAATTTATAATAATATTTTTTATTTGATTCGATTGCTTTGGATGAGTTTAATTTACTTAGTGAACTGATATTTTAGTATGCTTTTACTACCTCAGATATTTGAAAACATATAGGTTAACTTAGAAAGAGTAACAGTCACGGAGGATAGGTTTTAGACTTTTAAAACATTGTAAAAAATAATTAATTGCGGTTAAAAATCTAGAACACGAGCTGTAATATCTACATACTTAATTATGAAAGATGAAACCACAATAAAAGTGTAGGTCAAATTCATTTAGTTTTATTAAATATCACGGGGTAACACCATTTCGTGAGATTCACCCATTTGTATTAAAAGTTATTTTCTCCCAAAAATAATTTTTTTCCAAAGTTGTTTAATAAAATCGAAAACACGCTATATCAACTTTTGTATAGAAGTGAATTTGGTTATATCGCATTATTTTGTCCTTGGAGTCATTCCAAATAAAAACACCAAATGGGGTGCGCTGCGTGATTTTTTATTTTGATGAAAAAATTTGAGGATGATCTTTTAGGTGTCAAATATGAAAATCCGTTGCCGTTTTAATTTTTTATTGCTTTACTTTTATTTGGCACCCCTTAGAAGTCTGAAATAGTGTCAATTTCTTACTCTCTTATAGTGGGCCAGAACTTTTTTTCTGTGACAAATATTGAAATAATTTTAATTTTGTTTTACTGTCCAGTAAGTGTGTTTTCAATATAAATTATTATTATCCAATTAGTTAATCTCATTAAAGAATGGTAAACCACTAAAGATTCATGATAATTTGCCAATTTTTGTGATTTTTGTCTGGCTCCTGTGCCTATTCTACTGAATTTAGAATGTACATTTTTTTCAGGTATAAAGTACTTATACAATAGAAAACTTAACCATTATTTTAAGTTTCTAGACTATCAATTTCTTTATTAAAAAAATTATTGAAAATTGATAATTCTCAAAATTAGCCAATTTTGCCCTCAGAAATCATTATGTTGAGGAAAAAATAAAAATCTGAAACTTTCAGGAAATGTAGTCCCCACCTTCATCTTCTCAGTCCAGTTAGTCTTGTTTTGTTATTTTTATTTCTTTAAAAGATATATTAATTTTTTTAATGCCCGTTTAGTAGCGATATTGTTAGTTTTATTTATAATTTAAAATTTAGATGGCTTTCATGTTTGGTGGAGAAGTGTCAGAACTGTCAAAAATATTTCATAAATATTATTTGTGCGTATTTCTTTGGTAAATTTTGTATATAAATATGTCATATTATGTTATATAAAAAACTTTTAAAATCACCAAAGGAATACCACAAATAATAATTATGAAATATTTTTGACAGTTCTGATATTTTTGGTAGTTATGTTATATTTTATGTATTGAAAAATCATATATATATATATATATATATATATATATATATATATGATTATATATTATATACATTATAACGAAGTATTTAATTGGCTAATTGGTGTTTAAAGAAGATAAAAAATATATTCGAGATCCTTATGGTTTATATCGTTAAGTATAATAAGTGAAATTAATAAAGAGTTAATTTAAACGTATAAAAAATGCGTTAAGCAGTTTTTTGTCAGTTTCTTTCACAATTTAAACCAAGTTAGTCTTGTTCTATTATTTTGATACCTTTAGTAAGGCACTAAATAGTAAAAAGTTAAATTTATGTATTTTAAATGTTAGTGTTGGAAAAATTTACACAATCTGTAAATACTTCTTTAAATTTTAGTTTTTAGGTAACTGGTTAAAATAAAACATGTTATAATAAAGGGGTTTATTTAGAATATTTTTTGGTTTTTGCTTATTTTTAACAATTTAAAACTTCTCAGAACTTAAATATTTTCTATAAGAAAGAGGTACAAAATTATGATATGTTCTTGCATTTTTAATTGCAATTAAATTCATGAATCTCGAACACTCCGTCATTTATTACACTTGCAAACTTTTTGAAATCACAATTTAAATACGCACAAATAAAATTTATGAAATATTTTTGACAGTTCGGACATGTCTCTAACAAACATGAATTGACAAAGTCAAAGCCATCTAAATTTTAAATTATAAATAAAACTAACAATATCGCTACTAAACGGGCATTAAAAAAATTAATATATCTTTTAAAGGAATAAAAATAACAAAACAAGACTAACTGGACTGAAAAGATGAAGGTGGGGACTACATTTCCTGAAAGTTTCAGATTTTTATTTTTTCCTCAACATAATGATTTCTGAGGGCGAAATTGGCTAATTTTGAGAATTATCAATTTTCAATATTTTTTTTAATAAAGAAATTGATAGTCTAGAAACTTAAAATAATGGTTAAGTTTTCTATTGTATAAGTACTTTATACCTGAAAAAAATGTACCTTCTAAATTCAGTAGAATAGGCACAGGAGCCAGACAAAAATCACAAAAATTGGCAAATTATCATGAATCTTTAGTGGTTTACCATTCTTTAATGAGATTAACTAATTGGATAATAATAATTTATATCGAAAACACACTTACTGGACAGTAAAACAAAATTAAAATTATTTCATTATTTGTCACAGAAAAAAAGTTCTGGCCCACTATAAGAGAGTAAGAAATTGACACTATTTCAGACTTCTAAGGGGTGCCAAATAAAAGTAAAGCAACAAAAAATTAAAACGGCAACGGATTTTCATATTTGACACCTAAAAGATCATCCTCAATTTTTTTCATTATAATAAAAAATCATGCAGCCCACTTTTAAATTCATTTTTGGTGTTTTCATTTGGATTGACTCCTTGGTATTTTTTGTACAGGCATTTCAGGGACACCTCGTGTATTTTTTTAATTTCTTAGGGCAATCTTCCGATCCGAAACCGTCGGAAACGCCAGCACAGGAAGTGTACAGCGTTCTCAACTTCCTGGCAAGTTTGAGTCTGGAACATTTGCACGACATTTTCGAGCGCGAGCAAATCACCTTGGACATTTTGGCCGAAATGGGTCACGAGGATTTGAAACAAATCGGCATTTCGGCTTACGGGTTTAGGCACAAGTTAATCAAAGGAATGGAGAGGTGAGTAATTTGATGGGATCATACAATTCTCGATTAATAACACTAGTTTACAGCCATTTTGCCCACCATGTCTCACTATGATTTTCTTGTGTGGTTTGGCTCACTAAACGCGAAAAATACACTTAAAATTTTTTTCATGGAAGCGATTTCGAGATTTTTTAAAATTTTCTGAGGTGTTTTGACGTTTTAGAGTATACTTCCAGTTCTAATTGATCGATTTGACCAAACAAGCACTTAAATCAAAGGTAATTGCAATTTCCAATATTTTTCTGTATGAATAACTAAGGTTGCTATGGTCCATCCATAGGCTATTGAGAATGACAGTGACAGTTTTGTTGAATCATCCCATACTTGGACATGTCATACACGGCTTTCAAAAGCTATCAAATTGTTTTTTGCAAATTAATGTTTAAATTTTGAGGTGTCTTCTCACTTTAAAAAATGGATATGTCCCCGACTGATGTTGCCAGAGCTATTAATTTAATCCAGGATGGACAGTCACAGTATTATGTGGCAAGTGTTTTAAACGTCACAAGAAGTAAAGTACAAAGGGCAACATCAGTCGGAGACATTTTTAAAAGTAAGAAGACACCTCAAAATTAACACATTAATTTACAAAAAACAATTTGATAGCTTTTGAAAGCTGTGTATGACATGTAAAAGTATGGGATGATTCAACAAAACTGTCACTGTCATTCTCCATAGGCTATGGATGGACCATAGCAACCTTAGTTCTTCATACAGGAAAAATATTGGAAATTGCAATGTTTTTTAAAAAAATCCCTATTTTCCACAACAATAAATATATCGAGGTGAACCAAAAACAAAACTGTTAAGAATAGATGTGACTTGATAAATAAAACTTAATTTAGAACAATATACGGTTTAGCCACTCTACAGAGTCTTAAACTTATGGTAAAAAACATTATTTTGTTTAAACCTGTATATTATAAACGGAAGTATATTTTTTAGTAATTTTTTAAAATGTGAGCGATTGTCCATTAATTTATCTACATTATTCCTTAATATTCGTTTAAATCCGACATCAAATAAACAAGTTGTTTGCGATTGAAATTCATTGAAAATTTGTGTGGATCGATTATTTTGCACGTGAGTGTATAATGGGATATGATGGGCAGAATTTTTTTCGATTTTGTAAACTAGCGTAATTTGTCGGTTCTTTTCAGGTTGGTTGCAAGTTGTGGCGGGTTGTGGTCCACCCCTTCCAACCCCGGAACCTTGCTGGTGGATCTCTTGTCGGACGACAAGGAGTTTATAACGGTAGAAGACGAAATGCAAAACAGTATTAGAGAGCACAGAGACAACGGGCATGCGGGTGGCGTGTTCAGCAGATACAATATAATAAGGGTAAGTTTTTTATATAAACTACACTGTTTAAAAGTTTCACTATTTTATTTAAATATGGAAATTGTTTTGTCTTCAAATCGTATACAACTAATTATAATTTTCTATTTGTATAAATGATGGTTTTACAGATAATACGAGGTGTGTTCAGAAAATAACGGGAATTGTTAAATTTCGCGGGTTCGGAGGGTCCGGTTGTCATAAAGTTTTCTTTATTATGTTGGTATACATGCCCCCGAAGTATGATAAAAACTTTTGCTGTTTTCATTCTTTACTTTGTCTGTGGCAGCCGCTAAGGTTAGACGTGTTTTATGAGCTCGGCGATTTTTCGTTCGTTAAAAGAAATGTATCAAAGAATTTGTATCCAATTTTGCTTAAAAAATGAAATAAATTCTGTGAAATGTTAACAAAGGCCTATAGTGAGACTGCTATAAGTAAAACAAGAGTGGTATAAGAGTTTCCAAGATGGCCGTGAAGACGTTGAAGATGATCAACGCCCCGAACGCACAAGCACATTAACAACCGATAAAAACATGGAAAAAGTGGAAGAAATGGTTATAAACCATCAGAGAAGTCGCTGATGATGTTGGTATATCGATTGGCTTATCCCATGAAATTTTTGCAAACGTTTTGGGTATAAAACGCGTGACAGCAAAATTTGTTCTAAAATTGTTAAATTTTAGAACAACATTTTTGGCCAAAAACAATACTGTAATGATGCCTTAGCCTCCATATTCGCCAGACATGCCTCTGTCTGACTTTTTCCTATTCCCAAAAATAAAGAGAACCTTAAAGGGCCGTTGTTTTGCAAGCATAGATGACATTAAAAGCGCATCGCTGAAAGAACTAAAGGCTATCCCAAAGATCGAGTTTTAGAAGTGTTTCGAGTATTGGAAGAAGAGCTGGCACATGTGCATAATATCCAATGGGGACTATTTTGAAGGCGACAACATTAATGTAGAAGAATAAATAAATATTTGTTTCAAAAAACGAAAATTCACTATATTTTCTGAACACACCTCGTATTTCTAGTACAATATTGGGGGTAGATTAAATTAGCGTTATACATTAAAGGAACAATAATTATGGGAATGCCCTGTAATCTTTATAGTTATATAACACTAAACTTTTTGAATTTATTCAAATAAGTTTAATACCAGGGAATTATTGGTTTCTATTTGGACATTGAGAATAATATCAGTTTTTTTCTTTAATTGTTAATTTCCAAGGACTACAGTCAGAATTTTTTTTAATAAATCTAACAAAAAAAGTAGTTTGTGTTAATAAAGTAAAGATCCCTATCCGTCCAAAAATTGCTTTTGTTACAGCAAAAAGATGATTTTTATAAAAATTATTTATCTACAAACGCTGCTTTCAGTAATAGCATTTGCATTAATTATTAAGTAAATTTACGTTATGTTTAAAAAAATAACACTCTTCCAGATGCAGAAACGCATTGTTAAATATAGTTACTATTATTTGTCAAAAAAACACAGTTCTATACCGTTTACAAAAACGGTTTGTAGTATTAATGAAACCCTAATGGTATTATTCATAGAAATTTTATAAATTTTACAAATCACTTTTCGTTTAAAATAAAACTTTTTTTATAATATTAATTAAATTTATGTAAATTTAACAACAAATTAATTGTTAATTCAATAAACTATTTTCATTGCAACAATGGTCACATTTTCAACCTACTGTTGGGTGTTGGGTAGATTTTTTTAAATAATTGCAAGGCATTAAAACAAATTATTTATTATAACAAAAAAATTAACTCATATTATATGATTTACAAAATAAAAATAATATGTACTCACTTTTCAAACAAGAAGTCTCTTTTTAAGGGAAATAACAAAAATATTGTTACCATTGCAACAGTAAATATTAAAAAAGTCTTTTTATAGCAATACAATATTTTTGTTATTGCTCTTAACATAAGCTATTACAAAGATTTTCTAACTGAAATAAAATTAATTTGAATTACAACGATAGTAATTTAAAAAAGACAAATATGCCATAGTAAAATGAACAAATTTTGCTATAACAACTGTGCATTACTTTATGTAAGCGCAATTCACACACAACTATAGATTTAACAAAACATTTTAAGTTCGACAAAGATTTAATATAAACATAAAGTATTTCTTATTGCCATGACAATATGATAACAACTATTACTTTGTTGAATAAACATTTTTTTTTATAAAAGCTCAACATTGCTGCTTTTTATAGTAAATGAGAATTTTATTAACAGTAAAAAAAGTTTATTCTATAAATAAAAATAATCTCATTACTTTGACAAATCGTAGATTTTTGTCCCAATAATACACTGAAAATTTAAAAAATATTACAAATTTAAATAATATTATTTTATTAATCGCTTACTAAATTAGTGCATGCATATTTTTCTGAGTGTATAAATTCAGTTTCACAACTTTGTTTTCTATATGTAATATTTTAAAGTTGGAATTAAAATTATGGTTGTCATTAATAAGATGGTTTGCAATTTGTGGTTTATTAATGATTTCCTTTGTTCGTTTATTCTAGTTGCGGGTCATTCCATCGTTTCGGGTGTTACATTTGTTCAACCAAAGTCTAAATTTTTAGGTATTTTGAAATAATATTTTAGCAATTAAAGTGCCTTATTCTCTACGTTTTTAGTTGTTCTATATAAATTGTAAAACAAGTACAGTTTAGCATATAGGATAACTAGTCGAAAAGTGTGCGTTTCGGGTGTTTCACGATTCTGCCTCTATGTCCTGACCATTGTTACATTTATTTGAAATTCAGCGAATTTTCTTAGGGAAACATTCCCAAAAATTCCAGGCCTCCAAAAGTATAATATTTACCAACCATCTACCACATAATCACTGTCACAACGTTTCACTATTTTTTATAAAATTTAACTTTGTTTCGTGTGTTACCATGGTTGTGTTTCGGGTTACAAGTACAAAAATTAAACACTTTATATGGACAAAATCGGTGTTTTATTAGTCTCTAAAGAAATAAATATAAATAGAATGAATTCTCCTTTTACATAACTTAAGCAGCTTCGGGTATGTTTGATAAATCGGCAAAAAGGGTAAACTCGTTTTTATTGCCAAAAATCGGTAAAAACATAATTATTGACGAAAATCGTAGTATTCGGTATTTCGGTAGGTCCGTTGCCATTTCGGTAAATACCGAAATTTCGGTAGGTTCGATAACACCATCAGAAAAGCAGTCACACCTCTTTAAAAGAGGTGTGACTGCTTTTCCGATGGCGGCTCTAGTGGGTCGTCGAAAGAGCTTTAAAAATAATACTTATTGCATTCTTCAAGCAATACACACACATATATCGATATATGAAAAAACTTGTAACACCCGAAACCTTTCGGGTGTTACAGTTTTTAATTAAGAAAAACACATACCAAATTAGTCTCATGCTCAGATATACCACCAATTAATTAACTCAAAAATTACCCGTTTCCTCCAGGGTATTTCCACAAAACCTTACCCCACATTGACAAAAAATCAGATGTGATATTTAACAACTATATCTGAAGTTAAATAGTTTAATTGCGACGTAATTTATAACCTTAAAATATTCCTACATTGTGATGCTAAGAAGCTAACATTAAGAATAAACACTGAAGAGTTTCAATAATCGATGTTCAAATGTCGCACCCGTTACATGTTGAGAAAATTTTATAAAATAAAGTATACAATATTTGTCCATTTAAAATACGTGCTTGTTTAAGGTTACTATTCAAGTTTTACACAAAAAATTATTACTATATGCTTTCATCCAAAATTTTACAGTATCAACTTTAGAAGCCAACTTGCATTTGGCGCCCGTTACGCTATTCATGACGTTTTAAAAGGTTTTCTATACAAGTTTTTATTGACATTTTGTTTGAGTTAAATACCTAATGTTTTTTATATTAACATATCTTGATATATATAAACAAACAATTTATTATCATGAAAAAAAACGCAGTTTTAGTGTCGCACCCGTTACAATGGAAATACCCTCTAGTTTTTTTTGTCGCACATTATAATTTGGAATATTTTCTTTCGTAATTCGTCATATTTAATGCGAAAAGAACATATTTATTAATTTATTAACAAAATATGGACATGGAGTTTCATGAAGTAAAAGTCTAAACAATTGTGTCGCGCAGATCCAGAAGGTGCAGAACCGCAAGCTGTGGGAGCGGTACAACCACCGCAGGCAGGAGGTGGCCGAGGAGAACGGCAACCAGAGCAACGAGCGCATGCTGTTCCACGGCTCGCCGTTCATCAACGCCATAGTGCAGAAGGGCTTCGACGAGCGGCACGCCTACATCGGCGGCATGTTCGGCGCGGGCATCTACTTCGCCGAGCACTCGTCCAAGAGCAACCAGTACGTCTACGGGATCGGCGGAGGCACCGGGTGCCCGGCGCACAAGGATCGCTCCTGCTACTCTTGTCACAGGTAATGTACTCACCTCTCAATTGATCAATTAATATTTAACTGAAAAAATCGTCAAAGTTTTATTAATATAAAAACTAATTATAAAACAAATTACTCCCTGAGCTTATATGCTCAGTTGTTAAGTCAACAGAGGCGAGATGTAAGAACATCAACATCAACATCTCGCCTCTGTTGAGGTTTTAGGTTTTTTTTCAAGAGATTAGTCCCATTTGCCTAATTTTTTATGTTTCCAGTCCAGTTTATGGACTAAAATTAGCCGCTAAATAACATTTAGTAAATTTAAATAGTCTCGCGCTTTGCACGCGCCACCACCACCGAATTGACCAATAGGGGCCGCGCTTGTTTTGATTTCGTCCTAAAAAAGCTACCAAAAGCACTTTTTTCATGATTTTTCAAATTCATGTAGAGTATGGAATTTTTTTTTCTTCAAAAAAACAATAGTAAATTTTTGTAGAACATTTATTTATTGGTGGTTAAGTCAGAACATTCCGTGGACCAAAAAAGAAAGCCAAAAAAATTTCGAATTTTGTTATTACGGTATTCGTTAGTTAGGATTGAGCGTTGCACGTTTTTCATCTAAAAACTAGGAACTTCAAGCTTCAAATTGCTTTTTTTACGGCTCCAATACGACCATTTTTAACGATACAGCTATCCGAAAAATCGCAACAAAAAAATTATTCTTTAATTTTTTCTTTTAGTGTAGAGGTTTTACATTGCTATTGGTTTCTTATGTGGAAACTACCAAATAATAAGAAATCAGATTTTTTAGACTTTTCAATAATGAAAAATGCAATATACGAGTATTCTACATTTCACTTTGTTATTAATATACATTTTACCCAAAATTTCATTTTGAAAAATTACTCCATTTTTTAAGATTGATGTTATTTATTGAATATGCTTTATTGTAGCGGATTTGAAAAAAAACAAAAAAAAACGTTTTTTTTCATGTTTTTTTTCACATCTGAAAAAATATTAAAATACCTACTCTATTGACTGATGACATCAAGTTGTCCAACTTTTGTAGAATCACCCATACACATTACAAAATTTAAAAAAATTATTACTGCGCTTTTAGTAGATATATTTTAAAATAACCAAGGCCGAAATCTTATTTTTAAATTAACGTCGAAATGTGGTAGATTCAGCCTACACTGAACCAATTTACTTAGTAAAAGAAAGTGGTTATTTTATAGGAAATTTCATAAGCCACAAAACTCCAGGAGAAAATTTTTGTTAAAAAATGCACAAAAGGAATTTATATTCTTCATAGGCGACCAAACAACTGGCATTTTTGTTTCAGGCATTTGGTGTTGTGTCGAGTAACGCTGGGCAAATCCTTCCTTCAATTCAGCGCAATGAAGATGGCGCATGCGCCGCCCGGCCACCACTCGGTCGCAGGCAGGCCTTCGGCAGGGGGGCTCAACTTTCCCGAATACGTGGTCTATAGAGGGGAACAGGCCTATCCCGAGTACTTCGTGACCTACCAAATCGTCAAACCCGAAGATACGTCGACAGGAAACGATTCGGACGTCAGGTAAGCTAAAATTATTAACAGCAATTCGCGAATATCGGCCGTATTTTTGATTTTATCGAAAAAACAGCCAATTCCATTTTTGATAAGAAAAATTTGTTTAGAGATGGGAAAAACGATTTATGAATTGTGATAATGAGATCTTTAACAAACTTTTTCTTTAAATTAACAAAATTTACTTTCTTGGCCTTAACTTATTTGACAGTTATATAAAAAAACAGGGAAAGTTTCCGGTAACTTTATAAATGAAAATAAATTCCCGACTGGAATCTTAACAACTTTTATAATTTTTTAACCTACAATTTTTTCAATATTTTGCCAGAACCTCCTTAATAATCATAAGCATGCGAAATATCTTATATCTTATACAGTGCTTGCAAATCCAAGTCCGACCGCGTTGGGAAGGATGGTTGTTCAATACCCGCGTGAAAAGAATAAGGATAGAATGCCAAACAGAATTTGATTGATCAGAGCGTCAGGCGTGCGTATTGTAAGCGCCTTCTGTTTGGCGTTCTATCCTTGTTATTTTCACGCGTCCTTCTCAAACCGGTCGGACTTGGATTTGCAAGCACTGTATAAATTCAAAAATGCTGTTTTGTATGTCACGTTGTTTTAGCATTTATTAGATAATAGTTTGAAGATTAAAATTTAGCACTTAAATCATGTTTTAACAGAAATTTACAAAGTTACAAATCATAGTCGAGAAATTCTCACATTACTTTTAATTTAAAAGTTTTAAATGTAAGTTTTAAATTTAAAGTGGTATTTATGGCATGCCGTTTTAACATTTATTAAATAATTTTTTAATTTAAAATTTTATTGGTTTAAAATTTTCCTAACTAAAAATTTTAGGTTTACATTTATAAATTTATAATATTTTCAACTATCATGTATTGAAATACTAACAGTTCACTTCTGTATTAAACAATATTATTTTCTATCAATTTTTACAAAAATTTCTAACTATTATTTTTTAATAAAAATAATTTCTCAAGTATAATTTATTTGGGTGGCATTTTGTTAACTTAAATATTTTATAAAATTATTGAGATTAATTTGGTAAAGTTAAATTTTTTAGTATTTAAAAATAGTATCAAGCCATTTAAAATAAAAACACATATAAAACATTTTCTACCAAAATAGTTTAAAAAGTTAAATTTTTGTAACTCAAAACTATTGATAGTCAAAAAATATTTTAAATATAAAATGCAACTGTAAAAGTTTTAAGTTTAAAAATCTTAATTTAAAAAAAATGGAATTTTAATATTTTATTCTTCAAAATTATTGGTTTGAATATGTAAGGAGTCATTTAAATGATAGTCGATAAATTTTAATTACAAAAATTTGAACATTACATTTAAATGTTAGTTTTAAATTTTAAAGTGGTAATTTTTGCATTAAAAATGTATCTATTTATTTATAGCTATCATTTAAATGACTTTACAAATTTAAACCAATATCTTTTATTTTTAACAATTTTAAATTGATACATGTTTAAGACAAAATTTATAACTTTACATTTAAATGTAAGTCGATAATTTTTAAATTACAAAGTGTAAACGTAGCTTTAGTAGAAGGCACAAGAGTCTGGGATCGGAGCCACGATGCAGCCAGTTTGATCCGTTGATGTTTTTTAATTGTCATCTTTCATCTGTCAATTGTCATCTGTCACATTTCGTCTGTCACCTGTCATTTGTAATCAGCTATTTGTCATTTGTCAACTTGACATCTGTCACCTGTCATCTAGCACCTCAGCCGGAAATATTATAAGCTCTAAACGGAACTGCTTACTTCCCGAAAATGCAAATTTATTAATCTTCCTTAACCAAAATAGAGATATAACTGAAAAAAAAATTTACAATTAATTTAAAACCCATTTTTATAAATAAAATGTAAAATATTATTTAACCTAATAAATTTCTCTATTATTGTTTGTCATAAAAGCAACATCAATATTAGTATTATTATGACCTGTCCGTGAATAAGAAATCATTATAGGTATAGCTTAAAAAATTAACAGTTTAGCCGGTTAGCCATTAGCTAATTAGCTGAGCTAAGCTAAATTAACCGGTTAAGCCACCAGCTAATTAGCTAAGCTAATTTAGTTGACCAGTTAAATTAGCTAAGCTGATCAGTTAGCTAGCTAATTAACTTAGCTAACTTTTTTGGCCGGCTTAACCGGCTAAATTGTACAGCACTGTAATATACTATTAAGATACTTTGTCTTAAATACTTTTAAATTTTGGTATTTAAACTTAACATTTTAGATACATACTGAAAGTATTTGTATCTTGTATTTTTTTAAGTATCTTAAATACTATACAAGTATTTTTATTTACTTTTCCTTTAAAAGTATCTGTTACTTATCTTAAAAGATATCTTAAATACTTAAAAGTATCTTGTACTTTAGATACTTTTAGGATTTTTAGAAAATAAGTTCTTTTCTTTTATCTTTTTTAAAATAATTAATAATTTAGTATTTAGTATCTAGTATTTAAATACTTTTAGAAAGTATCTTTTCCAGCTCTTCGTAAACATAAAATTTTTAGTTGGGAAAATTTAAAACCAATAAAATTTTAAATTAAAAAAATATTTAATAAAGCTTAAAACGGCGTGCCATAGTTTTGTCGTGTTTGGCGTTACGGCATTATTTCGTCGAAAAATGTATGGCGTGCAGTTTTATTATATTTTCCATAAATTTAATGTTTATAGGTGATTCTCAGATGACCGCTGGCTCTTGATTCGGTCGCGTAGAACTTACAGGGAACATTTAATTAATATGGTGTCTCAAGCGGTTCGATGTCTTTTTCCGCAAAGAAGGCATTGCAGCTGTCAGGATCACCGAAATTAATACAAAGTGTCTGATTAGGTTATTTTTTTATTGGTGCTCTGATTATTTTTAATTATAAAAGTGATTATATGTACCTACGTATGTAGACAATGGGGAAGTTAATTTTTTACAGTTTTAATGTATGTTTTTTGCAGTCCAATCAGACTATCAACTGAATTTGTGACTTCTTTTTCTAAAAAGAAGAAATTGCTCTGATTGGTTAAGAAACTGAAATTCTGACGTTTGATTCTAATTGGACACAATTGCAAAATAAATAGATTAAAACCCTAATGTATAAGTTAAAATGTGACCCCATATTGGCATTTAGAATATTTAATTGCCATTCTTCAGTATTTAGAACAACACGGTGTCTTTTTTTAAATTTTTATAGCCTACAAAATTTAATTTAATACTTATTTTTCATTTTTTTTCTTTTTTCCTAAAAATAAAATCAGTTTTGAAATTTAATAGACGCGGTAATATTTAAAATAATTGTGTTCATAAAATAGACGTGTAAATATTAGTCTAAACTTATTTATTACAAGAAAATTGACTTGAATTGAAAGTATTGTGATAACTATTATACATATATCCTAAGTACATCATTGTGTTACTAATTATTTCTTAGACTGGAAATAGAAAGGACAAAAAATTGTTTCATAGTCGTGTAAAAATCCGAAAAATACGTTCTTTCTATTTAAAAAATTTTATTTTGAAGAATTATTGGAACTTTTTTGTTTTTATAATTTATGGTTGTTTTAAACATCTGAATGTATATAAATGGTGTGGCAATTTTAGAAATCCATCAGGATCATGTAATTGTTTTTTTTTCAGTGTAAAATAAAATATATTTACTTTATTTGGTGTTTTATTTAGATGTGTCAAGAACCACAAAAATGTCAGTTCAAAAATTCGCAATTTGCAATTCTTAGAAATATAATTTTTATTGTGTATGGTTAATTTGCAATTTGGATTTTTCTGAAAATTGTTACTGAAAATGTTTTAAATTGTATTTAAAAAGTTATGATAAACGGAGGTAAAAATAAAGTACCTTATTCATAAATAAATGCAGCTTTTATTAAAATGTGTATTTTTAAAATTCCCAAAAAAATCAATTTTCCCTTTAAAACGCTATTTTTTTATTACAACCCAAAATTAGAACTTGTAATGCCACAAACCAAAACATTTAAATCCTGTTGTCAATGGTAAAAAGTTACCACTGAAAAAATGTACAAAGAGAAGGGAAAAATAAGAACACAATTTTGATTTACAATTATATTACACGCAAAAATATAAATAATTCCAATAATAAATGCAAACAATATATTAAATACTACACTTACAATATGTACACCTTTTGTATTAACGACAATAATCATTAGTACCTCCATAAGTTAAATAATATACTAAAACAGTGAAAGTATAGTCATTCAAGGGTATAAAACATTCATTCGATTTTTTACCGTTTATTATCACAAAAGCTTTCATAAGTTTTAAATGTATCTAAATTTATATTTAGAAACTACATTTGGCGTAAAACGGTCCAATATGATGGAATTAAAAAATTGCGTTTAATTAATACTTTTTATAAAATATCGAGTAAATTACACATGATAGAAGGAAAACTACTTATTTTATGTGGATTGAAATTTCTGTACAATTAATAAAACATCTTAATTCAAAATAATAATTAATATTAGGTTTCCTAGTAAACACTACAAACTCTAAGTATTAATTTAAAAGAAAATATGTTAAGTGGTCAATTGTATAATGTATACCTTTCACTCTTAATTAATTATCTAACAATGTTATTAGGGGCAGTTACAATAAAATCGTAATTTTATAACATACAGCACATCGAATCCATATTTAAAAATACGGCCAGTGCTCTGACAATATCTAAAGAACACCCTGTAGATTTTTATTTTCGCCAACAATATATCGTTAGAATGTCAAAATAAAAGGGTCAAATTTATGCCAATTCAACCCTTTTAAAATAAATAATAACAATAAGATAACATTCACATTTAGTGCTAAAAGGCAACAAAATAAACACATATAGTGCTCAAAACAAACATTCAAGTGAAGTTTGGAAAAACCTTAGAGATCATCATCGTACTTTTACAACAGTATGTAGTTATGCAAACACAAAAAATAGTTTTTAAACACAGGATACCCCTAAAATTTCAAAATATACTAAAAATGTCTTTACCACTTTTATTATGCTTTGAAAATATTAATTTTAGACACAGGGTGTTAGTTTTTCACTTTTTGAATTCAAATTAAAAAAATAATCCAAATTTTGACAAAATTTTCATTAAGTGATTTTTTTGTGAAAATTTTAGAGAAAAGTTTCATAAAAAAATTTCAAAATTGATGAATTTTACTTTTTAATTTAAATCCAAAACGTTAAAAACTAAATAGATGCAAAAATTATTCATAAAATTTGCTGTCACTTAATTTTAAACAAATGTAAATGATAAAGAGTTGTAAAAATCTTATCAGTATAATTATTATCAAAGTTAAACATAATAATATTATATTTTAAACACAAGAGTTTATTTGCTATAATACATTTTAGAAACACCCTGTTTCCACAAAATAAAATTTAAATATTATAAAAATAATTTTAATTGTTGCAAATTAGTCTAAAAAGAGTCGTAAACAATAATTAACACAACTTGAGATTGTCCACAATACACAAACTTTAAATTCAATAATTAATGTTTTTTTTGTTAATTTTTTGTTGTATTCTTCACTATAACATTAATTAAAACTTATGTCATGTCATCCATGGGATGTAAGAATTAAATTTCTAATTTTTCTACTTAAATTACTGTCTGAAAGTCGTTCATCAATTAAAATGCTGAAAATAAAAAATGTATTAATGATAACAATAATTATTATGTTATTTTTAATTTAACATCAGTTCGAAATTATAAATTTAATTAACTATCAGAATGTACATAATGGTGGGTTAATTCATATCAAATTAACAAATGGTTGCTGACAAAATGTATTTTTTTATTTATGTTTGTACCATGGTAAATGTTTTCAAAATAAATTTTTTTTTTACATTTTTTAGATATTCTTTAAAATGTCTAACTAAAATATTTATAAAGTCTTAGTAATGAAATTTTAACAACTTATTACACCACAATAAAAGAATGTTTTCTGAATATTTTGGATTTTTAAAGTTCGTCCCTTCTGGGATATTTTAGATTAAAAATACCAGATTTTAGACAGATAAACAATTATTGTAGTATTTTAGCTATTTTTTAGATATTCTTCAAAATGTCCAATAAAAAAATGTAGCTTAGTAATGAAATTTTAACAACCCAATAAAATAGTGTTTTCTGAAAATTTTGGATTTTTAAGCTTTGTTTTAGATATTTCAGATAAAAAATACTAGATTTTAGACAAATAAACAATTATTGCCGTATTTTATTTATTTTTAAAAATTTTAGATAGGTAATCTTCAAAATGTTTAATTAAAAAAATGTATAAAGTCTTAGTAATGAAATTTTAACAACTTATTACAACACAATAAAATAATGTTTTCTGAATATTCTGAATATTTTGGATTTTTAAAGTTCATCCCTTCTAAGATATTTTAGATTAAAAATACCAGATTTTAGACAGATAAATAATTATTGTAATAATTTAGCTATTTTTAAAATTTTTAAATATTCTTTAAAATGTCTAATTAAAAAATTAAATTTTAACAACACAATAAAATAATATTTTCTGAAAATTTTGGATTTTTAAAGTTTGTTTGTTGTTTTTTCAGATAAAAAATACTAGATTTTAGACCAATAAACAATAATTGCAATGAATAAAAACAAAACTGTATTCTGTATTTCTCTATTTTATTTATGTTTTTTTTTTTAATTAACACAGTAGCTTCTTTAGAATAACTAGTTTTTTTTAATTTTATTCTTTTTAACGTGGTTTCTATTTAAACTAAATACCTTTAAAAACCAAGAAGCTAGAGATTAATGCAAGCCTCTGTAAATGCAAAATAGGCTGATGCACCTACATCCTGACATCTAAAAAATTAATGAATAACTGTTTTCAACTTTTTGAGCATAGTACAAACAGGTAAACAAATAAAAAAATTCTTCAGCAACCTTTTTAAATTAAATCGGTTGATTTGATATGGATTGACCTGGGCACTGTTATATAAAAAGATACACTCACAGGCAAAATAATCGATCCACAAATTTTCAATGAATTTCAATCGCAAATAACTTTTTTATTTGTTTTCGGATTTAAACAAATATTAAAGAATATTGTAGATACTTTAATGGAGAATCGTTCACATTTTAAAAATTACTAAAAAATATACGTACGTTTATAATATACAGGTTTAAACAAAAAGATGTTTTTTACCATAAGTTTAAGACACTCTGTAGAGTGGCAAAACCGTATATTGTTCTAAATTAAGTTTTATTTATCAAGTCACATCTATTTTTAACGGTTTTGTTTTTGGTTTACCTTGATTTATTTATTTTTGTGGAAAATATGGATTTTTTAAAAAACATTACAATTTCCAATATTTTTTCTGTATGAAGAACTAAGGTTGCTATGGTCCATCCATAGCCCATGGAGGGTGACAGTGACAGTTTTGTTGAATCATCCCATACTTGGACATGTCATATACAGCTTTCAAAAGGTATCAAATTGTTTTTTGTAAATTAATGTGTTAATTTTGAGGTGTCTTCATACTTTTAAAAATGTCTCCGACTGATGTTGCCCTTTGTATTTTACTTCTTGTGACGTTTAAAATCCTGGATTAAATTAATGGCTCTGGCAACATCAGTCGGGGACATATCAATTTTTTAAAGTAAGAAGACACCTCAAAATTTAAACATTAATTTGCAAAAAACAATTTGATACCTTTTGAAAGCCGTGTATGACATGTCCAAGTATGGTATGATTCAACAAAACTGTCACTGTCATTCTTCATAGTCTATGGATGGACCATAGCAACCTTAGTTCTTCATACAGAAAAATATTGGAAATTGCAATGTTTTTTTATTAAATCCATATTTTCTACAAAAATAAATATATCGAGGTGAACCAAAAACAAAACTGTTAAGAATAGATGTGACTTGATAATTAAAACTTAATTTAGAACAATATACGGTTTTGCCACTCTACAGAGTGTCTTAAACTTATGGTGAAAAACATATTTTTGTTTAAACCTGTATATTATAAACGTACGTGTATTTTTTAGTAATTTTTTAAAATGTGAGCGATTGTCCATTAATTTATCTACAATATTCTTTAATATTTGTTTAAATCCGAAAACAAATAAAAAAGTTATTTGCGATTGAAATTCATCGAAAATTTGTGTGTGTAAAAAAAATCATAATCTGTTGTACTTACGGGAGGGCGAGCCCTGCGTGCCCTGGCTGCCGGAGCAGGGCGATCCCTGCGCCTCGGGCACCGAGTTGAGGAAGTCCCAGATGAGGATGGTGTCGTCGTGCGAGCTGCTGACGATCTGGAACTCGTCGAACTGAAGGCGGAAGACGCGGCCCGTGTGCTCGACCAAGGTGCGCAGGCAGAGGGAGGCGGTGGGCGCGCGCGGGTCCAGCGCCGCCAGCAGGTCCCACACCTTTATCTTGCCGTCGTAGGCCCCAGACACGATGCGCTTCGAGTCGAAGCGGATGCAGCGCACCAGCTCCTCGTGCCCCTCGAGCACGCGCAGGCACGCTCCGCACTCTATGTCCCACAACCTGCAACCGAGTCCTTACTATAGTTGGGACTTTATACTAGGGTGATTCATTTCCGCAAAGTTTTTGTTTTTTTTTCGGTGCTCAAGCTAAATATTAATCTGCATATAGGAAAAAACATTCTCACCAAGTTTGAGCTCCTAATATTAATTTAAGCACTTACTATTTAAATTTAAAGTTTTACCGTTTAAAATGCATGTAAAAAATATATTTTTTTTTTCAAATTTCTAATGCTTACCCACCTTTGACAATATTGCAAATCGGTTTAATACACCTTATGGGGAATTTCACGCTCTTTAAAATTGCTTTTGAGTTTTTTTTTTGTAACTCGCATTGGTTCACCAGTAGGAGTCGTCAAAGAACAGTTTTTGAAAAAAATCGTTTTTTTTATTTTTTCGAGCAAATCGTCAAAAGTAGTGAGAAAAAAGGGCTGATTCATAAACAAAAAGTTATCCAACCAATATTTAATAAATTTACTGCCATTTTTATAACTGAAAACGTAAGAAATTGATAAATACCAACCCATAATGTTATTTAGATTTATTTTTTCTATTTATTATCATTATATTTCCCTACACTAAGAAGTTTTTTAAAATTATTGATTTCTCACTTATAATGAATATGAAAACAACAGATAAATTCATAAAAAAAACAATAAGAAAATTGTAACATGGTTTTTGCAATTTTTCAACATTTCTGTCATATAGCAAAAAAATATAAATGAAGATTATTTAATTTTTTGAAGCGAAATTTGAAATATGTTACATAACCTTCTGTATATTCCGATTAAAGTTTTGTTGTTTTTTTATGAATTTATGTGTTGTTTTCATATTCATTATGAGTGAGAAATCATAATAATTTTAAAAAAGTTCTTAGTGTAGGGAAATATAATGATAATAAATAGAAAAAATTAATCTAAATAACATTATGAGTTGGTAATTATCAATTTCTTACGTTTTCAGTTATAAAAATGGCAGTAAATTCATTAAATATTGGTTGGATAACTTTTTTTTATGATTCAGCCCTTTTTTCTCCCTACTTTTTGCGGTTTGTTAGAAAAAATTTAAAAAAAAACGATTTTTTTTTAAAACTGTCCTTTGACGACTCCTACTGGTGAACCAATGCGAGTTACAAAAAAAAATTAAAAGCAATTTTAAAGAGCGTGAAACTCCCCATAAGGTGTATTAAACCGATATTGTCAAAGGTGGGTAAGCATTAGAAATTAAAAAAAAAATATATATATTTTACATGCATTTTAAACGGTAAAACTTTAAATTTAAATAGTAAGTACTTAAAATTTATATTAAGAGCTCAAACTTGTTGAGAATTTTTTTTCCTATATGCAGATTAATATTTTGCTTGAGCACCGAAGAAAACAAAAACTTTGCGAAAATGAATCACCCTACTTTATACTTTATAGTTATTGGACAATTAACATTAATACTGATATTAGTACATAGTGTAACCCCCTTCCTAAACGAAGGGTTTTGCAAAAAAAAATGTTCACGCAAATTTTCGAGGGTACAAAAATTGAGTTTTCCGGCCGAAAAAAATAGAAATATTTGTTCAAATGAAAATCCCTTCGTTCAAGAAGGAGCTATTGTAATTAGGTACAACACTTTCAAATTTCACATCGATCGGTAAATTGGGTTTTGAGAAATCGTGTTCACGGCAACAGCACTTTTCAAAAAATACGATTCCGAGATAAACGCGTTTAAAGTTTTAAGTTCATTCAATTTGCCTTTAAATGTTCGTGAGGTAGCACATTATAAATTGCTATAACATAAGTTCTAGTGCTCCGATCTTGATAAAATTTTGAGTAGATATTCTTAAAAGAATATGTTGTACGAATATTTAATAAAAAAATCGATTTTTCGACCCAGCTCAAATGTATGTAACCCCTACCCTTCTGGACCCTCAGTTTTATAATAACACAGTACGACAAAATTTGATTTTTTTCACTCCCACGAAAAATTCCTATAGATTTTGAAAATAGACCTAAAAAAACCGTTTTTTCAGATTACGTAATTTTTTTTTAAGATCCAATAAATTATTATCCACGGTATTTGGCACATAATATAACAGCTAGACTGTAATTTTTAAGAAAAAATTATTCACTGAATAAATGGACAACCATTAAGATTATTTATTTATTTTAAAATTATTTTAATTATATACAGGGTGTTGCACATTTACGAAATACGGGTGTTTCACTTTCGTGGTCCATTGAAAGTTTCTGAGGAACGGCAAAAGATATCGATTTGAAATTTTTAAAGCGTTTATAATCCAAGGAAGCCTATTTTTCTAAATATTTTAAACAAAACGTCACTTCCGGTTTCACCGGAAGTGACATCAACTTTGTTATTTTAAATAAAACACCCCATATATTTTTACATTTTTAAACTCTACATAAAATTTTGAGTAAAATTTGTGAACCATGTCCTATAAGTGAATAGTTTTCTAGTTTTTAATTTTTTTCGTTAAAATTTTTGGAATCTTATTTATTTGGTGGAACATTATTTAAAAGATTCCATGTCAATTCTTTAACATTTTTCAACAAATTACCCAAGAAAACCCAGGGTAAATTGGGCTTGAAACGTTAATAACTATTTTATATAAAATGTATGTTTTTACCTAATCAAATAGCAAAATATAAAACATTTCAAGTAATATAACTATTCACTATACCTAAAGTTATTAATTTCAGAGATATTTAACAATTTATAAAATTTTAAATATTATTGAGAAAAAAGCAGTCAGTGATTTTTAAATAACATTGACAAGCCAAACTTTTTTAAAATTTAAAAGTAATACAAACAGTACAGTTCATTATTTTTATCTGGACTCTTGTTTTTTTGTTAGGTTGGTGGCTTATGCCAGTTTGACTTAGTATTTTTAGTATTTGAAAATGGTACTTCTGCTAAAGAATTAATTAAATACTTTGACACTGTCAATTATAAATAAAAAGATAATTATGCCAAAAATAATAGCAACGAATTCGAATGTAAAAGCCCTTTTGAGGGCAAAACTTCATTTTGATGAAGTTATGCCAAATGCCACAATGGAAGAAAAAGTACATCACCTTATGGACATTTTTGGAGTAAAAAAGTAATGAATTTGGTTTTATAAATATTACATCACACATTATTTTCATATTATTCTCCATTGGACGTTCACAAAAAATTTTAATTTCTTTTATATAAATTTTTTTCAAAGCGAAGATTATTATCCGCTAGGAATACTTTCTCTTCTGGGCCGTAAAGCAACCTATATTTAACTACTTTTTTTATATGATTTTTCTCATCCAAGCACCACCAAACCAAATTAATTGCATTTTTAACTACGAATTTCGACAACTCAACTTGACAACTGCACAATGTAACCTACAATAATTTATACATAACCACAATTAGATTTATAACTAGCTTAGTTTGTTTTAATCAATGCGACCAACTTGACAACTGTATTTACCAACCAAAACCCTAAATTTGCAACGTTGCCGCAGTCCAGATAAAAAAAGAACTTTATTTGCTTATTACAACTAGATGAAGCACTAGCTCATTGGAGGCAATAAAATGTAAAATTTATTTTATAAAATATTTTAATAACAAAAAAATGCGTAATTGTAACCAACAATATTTTTTTTACTAATTTATTACTAAATGTTCAAAATGTCCTCCATTTAATTTTTACTTCTACATTAGAAGTTGCTCTTTTTGACTATTCTGGGTTTAATATCAGAAATTGTTAAATATCTCTAAAATTATTAAATTTATTTATTGGAAATAATAATGTTTTTTAATTTTCTATTTAGTTTTGAAAAAACATACAGGGTGTTTTATTTAAAATAAAAAAATCAATAACGTTTTAAGTTGGACTAAGAAACTTGGACTTACCGGATGGTGTTGTCGGAGCTGCCGCTGACGACCAAGCGTTCGCGGTACTGCAGACAGGCGATGCCGCGCTTGTGGCCGTTGAGCGTGCGCACGAACTCGCACGACGACGTGCTCCACACCTTGATCGTGCGGTCGCCGCTCGCGCTCACGATGTACTTCTCGTCGAAGTCGACCACGTTGACGGCGGCGCGATGCCCCACCAGCACCCTGCGCAGCGTGATCTCCGTCTGCGAGGTCATGTCCCACACCGCTATGGAGCGGTCCTGCGAAACATTATTATTATTTTCTAATTTCTTGTACATTTGCTGTCCCTCAACTTTAATATTTTATAAAAAATTCAGTTTAACGCCGTTTGGAACTTTACTAAGCGAAATCAATTGGTTTAAGTGTTTTTAGCAACTATACAGTGTGTCCACGGATGGACTTAACTATACTTGTAAAAATATTTATCTCCACGCGGTCTATAATTTAAACTTTATTGTTGTCAACATTCGATAAAGAAATACCTTGTCATGGCCTAGGCCGATAAAAAATTTTATGAGGCAAGTAATTAGTTCGATTTTTTCTCGCTAGGGGTATTGTTTTGACAAATTAATCGTTTTCTAAGAAATTAACGTACTAAACTGGTTTAATTTATTTATAATAAGCACTAATTTGTTTGTTTTACTGTTAATGTTTAATCTTTTTCAATAAATTATTCTAAAATTAAATATGAATAATAAAACAAAAAGTGAGGTTAGGCAACCAAGAAAACGCACGATTCTTTTTCTACGATTTAAATTATCTTTAAGTTTTAATTTGCTTTAAGTTTTCAGTGAAATTAAATGTTAAACAAAGCTTAAACATTCCAAACTACCTTTTTTTTAAATAAAATGCCAAACAAATTTAAATTAGATACCTACCTATTTATTAAACAATTAATTGAATTCAATGTAATAGCAAAAATCCATTTCTACTTAAATCATGTAGCTAGGTATTGTCAAACTATTACTGCTTCTAAAAGCAATAATAATTATTGTACATTTAATGTAATCTTTAGCTAATAAATAAATGAGATTCTAAAAAAGTGAAGATAAAATGTTGTATGCCATTACGCCAAAAAGTGCCTTATTGTGCTTCGCCCAATTGTAGGCCTCCGCTACGCGTCGGCCTTCAAACCTTGAGCTTAGCACAAAAAGCCTTACTTCTTAACCTAATGACTATTAAGTCGTTTACTGCTTTGTTTATTTTCAGAAAAAAACAATTTTTTTCCAAAAAAGACGATTTTTCCAAGGTCTAAAAAAAACTAAAAAAAAAAAACAGTTTTTTTAATGGACTTCCTTTTGCAAAAACGATTACGTTTATTTTCTTAAATCAATTCAATTCAATATTTTATTGATTTATTTGTTATTTTTTCTGTAATAAATTCATTATTCTTGGGAATATTTTTTTTAGTAAAATAATTTTAAGTTTTTTATTGCTTTGTATATTTCAGAAGACAAAAAATTTCCAATGCCTGAAAAAAACGAAAATCAACAAACAAATTTTCCTGATATGGGTGATTCTAAAAATATTGAGTAATTTTGAGGTAAATTTTGGCAAAAACAAACAAATTAAAACTAAAAATACGGCGCCTGCTTAGTTCAAATATCGTTTATAAATAAAACGTTTTTTAACTTTTTCTTTTGGAACCTTACAAATTAAGGGTAGGTATTACTTAACATTGGTGTAATATTTTTTCGATCAAATAAAGTGGACTTTTCGGACCCTTTATTGTATTGTATGTACTGACCTTGGAGCAGGTGACCATCATGCCGTTGTTGAAGCGCAGATGAAGCACCGCCTCGCAGTGGTGGATGAGCGTGTTCACCATTTCGCCGGTGTTGACGTTCCAGACGCGGACCGTCGAGTCGCTCGACCCGCTGATTATCACTTTGTCGTCGTATTGCAGACACAGCACCGATCCGGTGTGACCCATCAGCACGCGCGTGCACTGCAACGTTGTCCTGAAACAGGAAAAACGAAACATTGCGATTCAATCGGCTAATCTTTACATGCCCAAATAACACCTGTGACTCTTGGCTTTAACTTAAATAATATCAAAGCTTTATCGCACTCTTTAAAAAGATGTTTTGGTTTATTATACCCATAATCATATTTGCATGCGAATTTTGTAGACAGTTATTGGACAATTAACATTAATACTGTAAAAACAAGAGTTCTATAAATAGTTACCTTAAAGTCAAATCATTAGATGACGCTATATATGTAATTATAACTATCTCAGTCGGTAATAATATAGAACTACTTTATTTTGGGTCCAATATGTGACAAAAAAGTTCGCACGTTACTTTGGTGGTAAGATTTTTGTTTTTTTCTTAAGAGCAGGGCTGTGTTTAAATTACAATAAAAAATATTTATAAAAAGTGTACAGATCAGTGTGTGGTATAAATGTGTTCCTCATGGTTTAAACGTTGTCACTTTAATACGTTTTAATTTTAATTTTGAAAACAAACAGTAAAATGGCCAGTGTCCAATTACTGGTTGGTAAAAAATGTAAATTTCTATTATTGGACATATGTGAAGAAATATATGAATTATATTATATTTACATAAACGAAATAAAAAAAATTACCTAACAGCAATTTATCTTTAAAAAATATTAAACAATTTATGTTATTTGATGTAAAGTTGATATATTTATATAAAAATTGTATGTCCAATAACCATGGTCCATGTGTCCAATTACTAAATAAAATGTCCAATTACTATACTTTTAAGCGTGTTTTTATAAAACTATTATTAAAAATTCAAATATTATTATTTTTAAGTAAACGTAAATAAAGTTTAAAAAACAAACTATTCTTTTTATATATTTATTTATTTATATTTTCAATTGTTTTTTTTTAATTTTCTGAGGTGTTTGACGTTTTAGAGTATACTTCGAGTTCTAATTGATCGATTTGACCAAACAAGCACTTAAATAAAAGGTAATTGAGCCCTCTACAACTTTCTCTTGTATAGTTTTGGCATCGGCTCAGTAGTTCGATACTGGCGATTTTATGAAGTTGAAAAAGTCCTTTTTTTACAAAAATCGAGGTCAAAAATTTACATAACTTTCTGGGAAAGATAGAAATCGAAAGGATACCCTAGTAGCAATTCTGAAAAAGTCTTGGCCCAGCATGGGTCAAGATACTTTGGACAGATTTTTGCTCAAGAATTGTACAAGAATTGTTCCAGATTCTTGGCCAAGATTATTGGGCAAGACTTGAGCCAGACTGTGGCCAGAATTTGACCAGAAATCTGAGGCCATCTATTGCAAAACTTTGGGACTATCCTATAGAATAGAGGTTCTCATTCTACAGTAGTATCATTCACAATGATGTATGCGTCAGCTCTGACGCATAACTAGAGTTTACATGAAAGATTATAAAATACATGTTTATTTTTACGGGCACCTGTTTTTTTTAATATAGAAAATTAAAAACTTTAACTCTTTCAAAATTTGTTTCGTTTTTAATCCTATTGTTTACCAGATTTATGGATAAAAGCCGAATTTACTGGAAAGAAATCGTGGAAAATTAATGTTTTTAGTAACATTCTTAACTATGGAAGTTCAACAAAATTTTGTATTGACCAAAAATCTTGAATTGAAAGTTCCTATTTAACGTGTAATCGTGTAAAAATTCTTGGCCAAGAATCTGGTCAAATTCTGGTCACAGACTTGTCTAAGTCTGCCACCAGTCTGGATAAAGAATTTTGGTCAAGAGTCTTGGTCAAAAATTGTCCAATTCTTTACAAAGTGCTTCTCCAAGTATCTTGACAAAGAATCTTGTCCAATTCCATTGCTACTAGGGTAATTCCAGTTTGATTTATTTTACGTATTTATTATACTTACAGGAAAAAAATAAGCTGCTGTTTATAAAAATCCATGGATAAATGGCGAAGTTATGAATTTTTCAGTTTTTAGAGAATTTTTTTCTTCATTTTATTGAATTATATAAAATTTAATATTGAACACTGATTTTTATTTTAAACATTAAACATTATATATTGAATATTAAACAATAAATATTGAACATTGAAGAAATTGAAAGTTTTATTTGTTTTAATAAGCATAGGTTTAAAAAAAATTATGGATCCTTCTTTGTTTTTTGTTACTTTCGTATTCCGTTTCTCGTATGAGGCACCAAATGTAATTAAAAAGCTGAATTTTGGTCTTCCACTAAAAAATTTATAACTTCGCCATTTTTCAATGTATGTTTATAAACATTCAGGGCTGGATGCTCCTGTGTACGAGTTTTGGTTCGTCCCGCGCATGCCATCACTTGATGAGTAGTTGCCGTGCGAATACACGAATAATAGTAATATTATCAAAGAAAATAGAGACATTTCTGGACATAGTGCGTTTTTATTAAACTTAATATTGAAGAAAGGGTTATAATATGGATAATAGATGCTTTCAGTCCTTGATAACATTTAGGGCTGTAGTTTAAGCGTTGGTGTTTTAAATTAAACTTTTAGTCACTGTCCAGAAAATGTTTATAGGAAACAGAAGCGGTCTTAACGTAAATATTGTATATTATTTCTGTGGCATTTAAACACTGTTTCCACAAATAAAACTTTTTCGGGAATCGATTAAATGAAATGTCCGAATTGCATCGAAATATGCCACACCGCATTTTAATAAATGCAAATGGCACGGCACAAACTAAAACACAAACAATACAAGTTAACGCAACACAAAAACAATAATAAACAAACCTAACAGGTTAACCTAACGCAATAACAATAATTTGAACGCTGAAAAGTAATTCGAACCTTACCGAACACAAAAACGACAATTTAAACAAAAAGTAGAGCAAAAGCATCGCAAAACAAGAATTTTAGCAGCAGATAATTAAAAAGCACGTTAAAGATTAAAAAAACTCATCAAGTGACGTAATTAAGCCCCGCCCAACATGCGCACCATCCTATCTTAAGGTGTATGTATCTTGATAAACATTAGCTTGTTATTTTGTAAAAATGTCAGCTTCACGAAAAAAAAATCAAACTGGAGTTATCCGTTTGGTTTAAACCCTTCCCAGGACGATATGTACATTTTCGACCTCAATTTTTTCTTACCTGTCCCATATTTTAATTGTGTTGTCCCTGAGTCCGGAGACGATCTTCTGGTCGTCGTACTGCAAGCAGTACACCCCCTTGCTGTTCTCCGACCGGCAGTTGATCCTCTGCAGGATGTGATGGCCGTTGCGCCAGTTGCTCTCGATGCTGTCGATGTCTCGGATTATCTTCGGGTAGAGCGAGCGATAGAAGCTGTGCGGCCGGTGGTTCTCGCCCGGCCGCGGCTTGAACAGGTACTGTATCCACTGCCGTCGTTCGGCCAGGCCGCGCCAGAGGGCGTCCGTCCTCACCTTCCTCTCGATCAGCTTTTTCCACAGCATGCCCTCCGATATCACCCTAAACCACTCTTTGCACACCAGCTCGGCGTTCTTCAGGCTGTCGGCGTCCAGGTAGGACAAAATGTTTTCGGCCACGTGGTCCAGGCCTTTTTCTAAAAACAAAGTACTGTCAGTCAGTAGGGTTGGGAAAATTTCACTATTTGCTTGTACTTGAAATTTCACTTGAAATTTTCACGACATTTATGAAATTTATTAAAATTTCCTAAATGTCTGAAATTTCATGAAATTTATTGAAACTTTCAATAAATTTCTATCACTTTAAGTGTAATAACAACAATTTATTAGATTTGTATCCTTTTACCTCCAATTTTGGAAAATCGTCTATCTTGTATAAAGGAGCCCATAAATATAACGAACTTGTAAAAAAGTATGATTTATTGAATATAAATGAAATAAAAAAACACTTTATTTATATATTTATTATTTTTTAATTTTTTACTGAAATTTTACGAAATTTGAAGAAACTTCATCAAAATTTTATGAGCCAAAGACATTTTTTATCCGTTTTCTGATGCAATTATAGCAAAAGTAAAAGTTTAAATTCATCATGAATTTTACATTCTTTACATTTACTGAATTAAATTATTTAAATTAATTTATGCATATAAGTAACAATAATTACTTATAGTGTATTCAAATCCAAGCCGAACTAAACAAAAACGCCCAGACGCTTGATAACTCGTTCTTATTGGTCGATTCGGAATCTGTTGTAAATTATTATTAAAGATCCCAGGGGAGGCCGCATGTGAAATTTATGCGAAATTTTCAGTAAATTGCGAAACTTTCAATGAAATTTCTTAAACTTTCACAGGCAATGTTAAAATTTTCGGATTGAAAATTTCATTTGAAATGTTTAAAAATTTCACTTTTCCAACTAAATAAAATATTTCAAGTTTGAAACTTTCAAAGTTGAAATTTTCATTTGAAAATTTCAACTGTCCCATCCCTAAATATATGGGTGAATCTCACGAAATGTCCCCCGATGGTGTTACCCCGTGATATTTAATAAAACTAAATGAGTTTGACCTACACTTTTATTGTGTTTTGATCTTTCATAATTAAGTAGATATTACAGCTCAGCTTCCAGATTTTTAACCGCAATTAATTATTTTTTACAAGGTTTTAAAACTCTAAAACCTATCCTCCGTGACTGTTACTCTTTCCAGGTTAACCTATATGTTTTCAAATATCTGAGGTAATAAAAGCATACTAAAAATATCAGTTCACCAAGTAAATTAAACACATCCAAAGCAATCGAATCAAATATAAAATATTATTAAAAATTAAAAGAAATAATTTTTATAACCATTTATGTAGGTGTTACAAAAATTAATTCTATCCTCCGTGAATCTGTTTTTGCTTTAAATTTTATGCAACGGATGGCGCTTTAATCATTTTAAATAAGCAAAAACCTCTGTTTGCGACATTATAGATGCATGTGATTCGTGAAGGTCAGTTAGATTTTATATGCAGATGAGAGTGTTGCTGTTTTATAATTCAAAAGTTTAAGTTCATTAATTTGCTATTTAAAACCTATCCACCGTGAAGTGTAATATCTCAGCATGTATGTACAATTGTATTTTTTAAAAATATTAAGGTGTCTAAAGATACAATAACTTATTTCAAATATACAAAAAGATGTTTAAAAAAACATACAAAATTCTAACCTCCGTGAAGCTATCTTCCGTGAAGCTCTAATATTCAAAAAGTATTATTTCTTAAAATTCTTGCATTAGTGCAGAACCACATGTTATTACTAGACCTGGTGGCTTCGCAAAAACCCCATTCTAGACTTACAGTGAAACAACCAAAAATAATCGTTTTGACTTGGGGGACATATATTTTAATCAAAATTTTTAAAGTTTTTCATTTTTTAAATGCGTTTTTAGATTATCATCAAGCACTGTTTTGCAGAAATAATTCACAAACTTTTTTATTAAAAATAATCATAATTTTTTTTCTTTTTTACTGCATTATATAAGGATTGTTGCGTATAATTAAATATATTTCAATAAAAAAAGATACGGGTTTTTAATTTTTAAATGCATTTTTAGATGTTCACAGAGCGTCAATTGCGGAAATTACCCAATTATTTTTGTATTGCAAAAAAATATTAATTTTTTTATTTTTTAATTTGTTAATTAACTATATTTTAATCGAAAAACATAACGGTTTTTCTTTTTTAAATGCGTTTTAGATGGCCCTGGAGCATCAATTGAGGAAATAATCAGAAAACTTTTTTATTGCAAAGAAATATTTTTTTATATTTTTAGTTTTTTTTTTTTAATTTTTTACTGTGTTAAATAAGACTTAATAGGTATAATTAACTATATTTTAATAAAAAAATAAAGGTCTTTATTTTTTAAATGCCTTTTTTAGATGTTCGCGGTGAAATGATTGCGAAAATAATTCAATAACTTTTTTATTGTAAATAAATACATGTTTTTTAACTATCTTAACCACTTTAAGAAATAAATAAACATAATTTGAATTTTTTAACATTTATTCCATTAATAATTCCTTAACTTCTTCAAGTGTGAATTGATTTCCATTCAAATTTGGAAATCTTCTCTTTAAATTTTCAGAAAATAGACTTTACGTCTTTGTCACTATTTAAAAATAGTTCTGTTAAAAACTAAAAAGAAACGCAGAATGTACTCATTTTGAAAAATCACAAAATGTAAAATATTATTTCCTTATGAATGAGGGAATTATGTTTTACTTTTAAAGATGCAAAACAAGGAATTAATAATTAATTTATAAAATATTTTTCCTTTAATATATCTACATAAAAAGAGTTATCTATTAATTAATACCTAATATTTTGTTATAAATAGATAATTAATTATTAATCCTATAGGATAAGTATACTTTGTATATATTTTTTAATAATATTATTATTTAATGCATGTTGTAATATTTATAATAATTAATAAATTCAACTAAAATTTATGAGCATAGATCTGTGGGTACGAAAATCTTGAGTGCGTAGACAATATTCAAATATGAATTTTTGTATAATATACATATTATGTAGATTAAAGTGTAACCTTTAAAAAAAATATATACATTTTTTTGTTGGATTAAAAGATATAGTTTATTAAATGTGTGCGTAATTTTTAGCCAATTTTACTGTTTTAAAAACATTCTATTTTGAGGTGTCGTAAAATCAAAACATAATATTTAAAAGAAATTCCTTACCAAAATCTTTAAGATGTTTTTAACAAAGTATCGTCATAAAAATACACATAATAAAAAGTTTTTAAAATGTATTTTTCCGCCGATAAACCATATATTTTAATGAAAACATTAAACTTGTTTCTGTAAAGAACAAGTATAAAAATAATAATTGCGGTACATATTGTTATAGTATACTGTTTTAAATGAATATTACAAAGGTGAAAACATTGTGTGATGTTTTGGTAATGTGTTTTACAATTCATTAAGTAATGTAAAAATTATATTATTTTAAAATACGAACACAGAAATAATTTTTACTGCATTAAGTAAATGGTACCGATAAATTAAAGCATTGTATATTGTATTTGTGTCAATCAGATTTGGTACTAACCATCTTCATCCAAAAGGAAAATCACAAACGGTCAGATTTATAAACCACTATCCAGGGATTTTATTTCTTGCAGTATTTCTTGTAGTATTTGCAAATATTAATTAGAAGTTATTACACTGTTTAAAATTTGTGTGGTGTAAAAAGTAATCTTAAAATGGTGTCTAAATACAACACCGTGAATTATGGTTGAAAATGTTATATACAGCAAACACCAAAACGGTGTTTATCTAAAAATATTTAAGAAGTGCACCTACACAGAAAAAGGGAATAGTTAATTTAACTATATTAATTTAGTTGACCAATAAGTATTTATTTAAATGAACTGTGGGAAGATTAATATAAACAAAGATTAGTTTGACGGTAATAAACCAGTAAGTTATTTTTTTTTTAAATTGGTTAAATTAACCCAGAAAACTTTAGTGAAACCAACCCGCTGTATGGTTCAGTTTACTAAATATGTTGTTTGTAAAATAAGAGTTACTTCAACCTAAAGCAACTCTGTTAAAACGATTAAAACAATTTGCCGTGCATTCCCGGTTGCATAGTGTGTACCGATCGCGGCAAAGGCGGTGTGGATCACGTGATGTTCTTAAATTTCGCCTCTGTTGACTTACATGAAGAGTATATAAGCTTAGGTATTTTTTGCTTTGATGTTCAATAAGTTTGTGTTATATTTGTTGGACAAGAAACGTGTAAACCCCCGATTGAGCGACTTTCGATGACTTACTTGGCAGTAATGAAATGAAGTCTCTTTGCAGCATGGGCTTGAGATAGGAGTTGATGTGTCCGTGCTGGTAGTGGCACATGCGTGCCAGCAGGTTCTCGACGAACTCCACCTGATCGGATTCGTTCCATTGCTCGAAGTACTTGATGCAAGCTTCGCGTTCCGCCACGAACGTGGCGATCTGTTGCGGCGAGGCGGCGTCTTTTTTCCTGGCAGTGTCGTAGGGGGGCAAGATCGTCATCGGGTATTGCTGCAACTAAACAAATAGTTAGTTATTGAATTTATTAATTAATTAGCGGAGGCCTACAATTTAGCGAAGCACAAAAATACACTTCTTGGCCGAATGGCATACAACATTTTATCTTCAAAGCACTTTATATAGGTCAATTTAATTCAACATCAAAGCGGCCTAACCTCACTTTTTTAGAATCTCATTTATTTATTAGCTAAAGATTACATTAAATGTACAATAATTATTATTCCTTTTAGAAGCAGTAATAGTTTGACAATACCTAGCTACATGATTTAAGTAGAAATGGATTTTTGTAAGAAAATGGTTTACTTACCCTCTTGCTATTACATTGAATTCAATTAATTGTTTAATAAATAGGTATCTAATTTCAATTTGTTTGCATTTTTATTAAAAAAAATAGGTAGTTTGAAGTGTTTACGCTGTGTTTAACATTTAATTTCACTGAAAACTTAAAGCAAATTAAAACTTAAAAATAATTTAAATCGTAGAAAAAGAAAACACAACTGTGAAATCCACAGAAACGTCAAATTTATGAGGCAAGTAATTAGTTCGATTTTTTCTCGCTAGGGGTATTGTTTTGACAAATTAATCCTTTTCTAAGAAATTAACGTACTAAACTGGTTTAATTTATTTATAATAAGCACTAATTTGTTGTTTTACTGTTAATGTTTAATATTTTTCATTAAATTATTGTAAAATTAAATATGAATATTAAAACAAAAAGTGAGGTTAGGCAACCAAGAAAACGCACTATTCTTTTTCTACGATTTAAATTATCTTTAAGTTTTTATTTGCTTTATGTTTTCAGTGAAATTAAATGTTAAACACAGCTTAAACATTCCAAACGACCTATTTTTTAAATAAAATTCCAAACAAATTGAAATTTATTAAACAATTAATTGAATTCAATGTAATAGCAAAAATCCATTTCTACTTAAATAATGTTGATAGGTATTGTCAAACTATTACTGCTTCTAAAATCAATAATAATTATTGTACATTCAATGAAATCTTTAGCTAATAAATAAATGAGATTCTAAAAAAGTGAGGTTAGGCCGCTTTGATGTTGAATTAAATTGACCTATATAAAGTGCTTTGAAGATAAAATGTTGTATGCCATTCGGCCAAGAAGTGCATTTTTGTGCTTCGCACAAAAAGCCTTACTTCTTAACTTCTTACTTCTTAACCTAATGACATAAATACCTATTTAGTAAACATCTGTTTATTAATAATAGTTAAATTTTAGTAGAGATGGGAATCAAAAAGTTTCCAGTCGGTTTCTTTTAAAGTTACCGGAAACTTAAAAGCATTTTTTTTAGATTAAAATTTTTTTCATTTTATTTTTAAAAGGTAATCATATAATTTCTTAATAAATAATTGTAAAACTCAATACAAAGGTAGAATCTTAAATACTTTCTATTGAAATTAAAGGTGTCCCCAACATTTTATGTCCCTTCTGTCTGCTTTTTGGTAGTCCTATAAAATTATACATGTAATCCAATCTAATATAAACAGTTGTTTGTTAACTTCAACTAATTTCCTAATGGTAAGTTAATGTGTTTGAACAGAAACTCCTTTATTGGTATATTGATTTTACTGATGCCTGTATGCTTTTATTTGGTGGAAATAGTATATTATGTATCAAGTTTGATAAACGCCATTTTATACACAAATTTAATTTATGCACGAGCGAGCTTGCGAGCGAGTGCTTAAATTAATGAGTGTATATAAAAGTTTATAAACGAGGTGCATACTATACTTTTTCTACGACAAACACTTATTATTATCTTAAAATGATTTAAATCAAAAATTTGTATAGAGCGCCATCTATGAAACAATAGGGGAATCTGTGTGTCACCGTCAAATGTCAAATTTTTACATTTTATAAACACAATTATAAAGGTTATAAATCGAAATGTATTTCTTGAAAATTGACAGTTTTTCACAGTGAAAGTACAAAATGTTTTATGAGCACTTTACAGTGCCCGAATTTAAGTTATAGTTTACTGCCAGCGAAATTAAAAGGTCAGTACAATGTTCATATAAACTTTTCAAATATTAGCGTTGAGAAACTATTTAATACTATTGTATACTTTTTTATTTTTGTATTGAGATACTTAATAAAATAATTTTTACATTTAGTATTATTTTACAAGAAAGGCACTTTATTTTAACGATTGTATGACATTTGACAACTATCAACTAACTTAAAACTAACTTCAGCCCATGACTAAAAACCTGTTGCTAACTTCAGCCCGTGACTAAAGCGCCATAAAGCCACAACTTGTCAATGTGTATTTAAAAGGTCACTTAGTGTCATGGAAAGGGCGTTTTAAAGGTGGGAGTAGAAAAAATATATAATGCGTCTAAAATAAAATTAATTAAATATTGAATGTGTTTAGAAAAATATTGGTTAAATTTTATGTTACTGCAAGGTATTAAAATAAATGGTGGATTAGTCGAGGCGACGAAAATCTAAAAGTAGAAAATTTTTGAAATTCTCTATTTTTTGTTTTTTAAAATTTATATTGCGTTTTTTATTTTTCAAAATTAAGCATAAGAATATTTATATGTTACTATTAGTTTAATTTGATTTCAATGTTTGTTTAATGGATAACTTGACAGAATAAATTTTTGTAAATAGTAACTATTGTGCATACAGTTTATCAAGATCTACACTTTAAAACAAATCCGATTAAAATCGCACAATAAAAAAATGTTTACAGGGGTGAGTCGCAAACAAATGGGTCACACTGTATAAAAATATGGCCTACATTATTTCATTTTTAATTCTGCTTTGGTCAAATACACATAAATAAAAACATACATAAAAACCTTGTGGGTGCCTATTTATGTTTTTCTAAGATTCCTTACCATAGTTAATGGGAATTTTGCCATTTTAAATCAAATGTTAAGAATTTTGTTATATTAGCCTTTAAATACCTACCGGGAGTCTGGGCAAGGACTTTCATTCAAGACTACCGGGTATGTAAATCACAATTTTATTTTGCAGATAACGATAAACTAACTATTAATTTAGTTTTAACTTGTTTTGTAGTTTTTAATTTTAAGATAAATTATTTTTAATTTTCTGACTGTTTCTAATAATAATATCTAATGCAATATGGACGTAAATTGTTTACTTTAATAGTATATTACACTACAAGGGCAGAAAGTGTGAGATTCCTGCATCATGGCGCGCAGTTCAGGGCTCTTACACTTTCTGCCCGTGTAGTGTATACTATTTTTCTTGCTACCCGGCAGAAAATACTTACGGGAAAAAATTAAATGTATATAAAAAAACTTGTGTCAAAATTAAAATCTGACGTTTAATTTAATTCTGACGTTTACATTCAAAATCAATCAAACTGTAGCGTTGTCATGGTAATTCAGCGGTGCCAATACAGTAAAAATAAAAGGTTGTATTTTAATTAACAAATTACTACTTTATAACAAATAAAAGTACCATTAAACAATTAAAACAACATAAAAAGTAAAAAAGTAAAAACATAAATTGTTTATTTGTTGTTATAATTGCAAAATTATGGTTTAAAACTGTCATATTTTTGTGTTTCTCATGTTGGCAGTACGAAATTTGAATGTTAAGCACACGACTAAAAAATTTTTACTCCCGCTATTAGAGTGTGCGCGTATAGCTTGACCAATGCAAGAAACGTAAACTTTCTGCCGTGGAATCGGGGACGAAACAACGAATTTTGAGTCGAGGTAGTAAGAAAATAGTGTTTTAAACAAAAAAAGACAATTGAGAGCTGATATAACGGCGTTTCAAAGAAAATTGATAAGCGCGACAGCCTGGTAGATAGCTAGTTCCTTTTTAAAAAAACAAATAAACATTGATTAAACCTTGCTGCTGCTATTGGCAACGCAATTATTGGACAAAAGTTAATCGAAATGCTATTTGAATACAAATCAAATATTAATAGGAAAATTGGAAAAATGATAATTTAAAAAAATGATTAGTCGGCAAATACTGGTGCTTCAAAAAAACTTTTAATTGTTTTTTTTTGCTCTTACCCTCTCAAATGTTTCTATTTAATATAAAAAAATCCTCACCAAATATGGGCGTTCCAGCTCAACTCTAAGAGGTCGCTGTTTTTATTTTAGTTTCCCATTTAATTAACATGGGTAAAAATAATTTTATGTTTGGAATTTTAAACCTCTGTATCAAAGTAACTTATGGCAATGATTATTGCAGTTTCTTATATAAAATGTAACGCCCTACAAAACAGGTCTCCTATTATTTTTCGATAAATTAAATCAAAGGTAATTGAGCCATCTACAACTTTCTCTTGTATAGTTTTGGAATCGGCTCAGTAGTTCGATACTGGCGATTTTATGAAGTTGAAAAAGTCCTTTTTTTTTACAAAAATCGAGGTCGAAAATTTACTTATCTTTCTGGGAAAGATAGAAATCGAAAAGATAAGTCCAGTTTGATTTATTTTACGTATAGATTATACTTAAAGGAAAAAAATAAGCTGCTGTTGATAAAAATCCATGGATAAATGGCGATGTTATGAATTTTTCAGTGGAATATGCCAAAATTTAGTTTTTCGAGAATTTTTACGATTTTTCTTCATTTTATTAAATTATATAAAATTTAATATTGAACATTGATTTTTATTTTAAACATTAAATATTAAAATTAAATTATATATTTAATATTAAACAATAAATATTGAACATTGAAGAAATTGAAAGTTTTATTTTGTTGTAATAAGCATAGGTTTAAAAAAATTCTGTCTTATTCTTTGTTTTTTGTTGCTTTCGTATTCCGTTTCTCGTATGAGGGACCAAAAGTAATCACCCATCATGGGTGGTTGCTGGTGAAAACATTTTTCACTTTTTATTAACTAAATAAAACCATGATAAAAATACCTTGTTGAAATATCAAAAAATATCAGTAAAATGTCACTATGCCAACACGAGAAACAAAAAAATTCACGTTTGCGGAGTCATTCAAATTTAAATTTTGAATAATGTTT